CAATGAAACCCGGAATCTCATCTCTGCAAACAATCGACAACAGCACAACGAGGCATTGCTGGCGTCCGTACTGGAGTGGGCGTGGCTTATTTGAAGGGGGCGTGGTCTTGAGAACGCACACACGGCACTGCAGAGCTCGGTGCCCACTGTAGCTGGGTTACAACGGGAGCACTTCTTTTTGGGCGGGAGTAGACGGGAAAGTGGGACGTCCGAGTTTTTTGGGTCCAAAACAGAATTCATCATCGGAGAAGTGGACGCTGGCGACACCTCTTCTCTCGGCAATAGATTGAATAACTCCACAGGATTCCTTCAATCCCTCTCCGACTACCTTCACCCTCATTCCAGGCCGAATGCTCTCTTTGAAGCCTCCCAAGGCGGCAAAAGTGGCGTTGGCAATGCAAGTGGTCTGCACTAGCTCCCCGGGGGAAGGGGGTGGGGTGCCACTGGCCACGTGGCGGTGCGTTTGGTCCGAGAAAGAGACCAGCTTTGGGGCAAGCTCCGGGACTGAGCACAGGCTTTTCAGGAGAGCCTGACAGAGGAAGAGTTCATGCATACGTACATACGTAGGTAGTTTGAAAAAGAGTTGTAGACTGATCTGTTCACCTCTCTGATGGCAGTGCTCCAGACCTCGGCGGCTCCTGGCACAGTCACCAGTCCAGTGCAGGAGTCCAATAACCTCTGACGCCAGAGAGTAGGCCACCTGTCCACTCAGGAATGGCCTGCAATCCATTCCCACACACCACCTAACTCAACCACTCTACCATAGCCCCATACATCTAACCACTGTACCATGGCCCCATACATCTAGGTATCCATACTGCCGTACTTAGTAATGTTCTTAACTACACTGGGATCTTTTAAGAGTTTTTTACACTATCATAGCCCCATACATTTATGATGCTACTAACTACGCATACAAGTATTAGCGTAGTAGAAGGCATGCTCTTTATTACCTGGGAGGGTCTCTTTTAAGGAGTTCTAGATTCTTTTTCTTGGCTGCAGCCTCAGCCTTGGCTTTTTTCTTGTCGACCGTGGTCCCTGGTTCCTCCCCAGAGGAGCCGCCGGACGGAGGTTCGATGCTCACCACAAACCCCATGCTGGCCCAGCGAAGAGCTCTCCTCTGACAGGATCTGTGAGGGAGAGGAAGGAGGGTGAAATGAGACACTAACAAGTATGAGTGAGTCAAATGGGTCAAACAAGGCCAGACAAATTGACTAACTGACAAACGAACAAACTACTCTACTACTGCGCATGCACTCACATGGGGGTAAACCACCACGCGTAGCAAAAGGTGTACAAAATACAGCGGCACCTTCCATCCAGTATCTAGCGGTCCTAAATTTAGCTTCGCCAGATACACATTACATCACACACATACAGACAGGAAGCCACACCCACCGGTAATTGTCGGTGAACATCTCTGCCCGACCGTGCTCCGAAAGAGCTCTGTCAATGAGCATCACCTCTTGCATGCGTGGTCCAGCCAGTCGCAGCTGCCTCGAGTCCTGGCCGATGAGGGGCTGGAGTATCTCCGCCGACGTCTCGTGTGATCTCTTGTAGATGTAGACGGAGGCCTGTCCAGACTCGTCGGCTTCCTTCTCCAGTCCAGACGGCACCGAGTGGAGGGGGTGTGGCTCCGAGTCGACTGGCGTCAGTTTGCCTCCACTCTCTATCGGTTTTGCAGGTACCTGAGCAAAGTGAGAGAGATATGTATGTGAATTTTGTGGGTGGGGAATATATCATCGTTTGCCATTGAACAGAGATAGTCTTCCTCCTCTAAAAGCCTGCTTGTTACATTGTATATCGTATAGTGGGAAAGTTCTGAGGCAAAAAAATTTCTGTGCTACAGTAGCAAATGTAAATTTCGAGGAGAAAGGTTTCTGCAATACAAATACAAAATTTTGCAGATGGCTCATAAGTTTTCCCTCAAAACGTTCCTGCTATAATACCTACGTACCTCAATAGACTGTGGTACGATGTATTCAGCCAGTTTGGCGAGGAGAAGTTGGACAATGTCGGCAGCAAGCCCCGCCCCCTGAGAGGGGGAGGGGAGAGAGGGGTGAGGGGGGACGATGACCTTGGAGCACTCAGCCACAGTCATGAGGGGGAGAGCAATCCGACACAACTGGAGGGCTATCAGCACCAGCTTTGGTGAAGGTCTGGGGAGACAACACTCATATAATGCTCAAATCACTAGAAATAATGCTTCGTATTTTTGATGATAAAAAGCAAGCCGTCCATAGAGTGTGCCCTCTGCATGTCCATGTGTAAACTAACATTGCACGTTAAAGAAAGAAGGAAGCGAGTGAGATGACAACACATAAGCTTAGGGCTTCAATTGGTCATTGTAAAGTCATGGATTTGATGCAGACAACTAGGCTGGTTTGCTCTGCTGCCCAATTTTCACAAGGCATAGTTGGGAATTGAACAAGGTTTTTAGTTGAAATGCACTACTATTACGTACGTACTCCAACCTCTGGTCAGTCAGCAGTAGGAGGAGTTTGGAAACACACGTGGGCTGCGAGAGGATTGCGCGACCCATCTGGCTACGGGCCAGCCCGGGAAGGAGAGAGAGGGCGTCCTGGAGAGTTTCGGAGGCCCCGGTCTCAGATAGGACGAGGGAGTCCATGGCTCTGGACAAGTGGTTGGTGAGCAGCATCGCCACCTGCATGTATGTGACAGTGAACGTGGGTCTATATACTAGGGTCCACAATGATCAAGCGGAATTTTCTATATATATATGTATATATTTATATACGACCGTACGTCGTACGTCGTGTAAGTGCGCATGCGCGGTTTTGTACGCGCTTCTCTTTATCAACATTCTTCTAGAAGCGCGTATATAAATAAATATTATATATATAGAAAAATCCGCTCGAACGAACGACTAGGTTGGCTGGTCCCGCTCGCCAACAATGAGAACAAGAAGAATTTGGCATCGATAGTGGGTATAGTGTAGTGTAGCCTGCAGGATTGCTCATAAGTAGGCTACAGGTCAACAAAAAGCCATTTGCCCCTCTTGAGAGGCTCATTATTCCAAGAAAGTGGGCAAATGGCTACAGGAAAGCCAAAGAGTTGGGTACGATGCACACGACAAAATCGGTTCATGGTGGACAGTCCGTGCCTGGAGCGACTAAATTCGGCCAAATGCTTTCCAGAATTGGACAGTCAGACGTACAGTGGTGAGCTAGGGCTAAATCCTCCACCAATAGCTCAGCTGGTCTGTTTTGGTAGAGAGGATTGGTGAGCTGGCAGTGGTGATGAAGGCCTTGAGAGAGAATCGGGAACTGCAGATGGAGTTCATTTCTGTTCTGAGGAGACCTCACAGGGACCTGATGGGACTCAGCAATGAGGTACTCTAGCTGTAGCTACCAGTCCTCGCTCCATCATTGTACTTATAGAGATGCACAGCAGACTGTGGAAATGCTTGACATTCCTACTCCACAGCTTCATGCGGTGTGCAGCAGAAGCTGTTGGAGAGAGGGTCAAATGGGATCAGAGGAGTCAAGAGCTCATCCTTCGCAGAGCTGCTAGCCCGTCTCTCCACACAGTCAGTACACGACGAGGTTCAGGCTCTTATCACTGCCACCGAGACATTCAGAGGTCAGCCTCACCTTACGTAGCTCTGACAAAACTCTCCCGAGGGAGAAATTTTCTGCAAAAATTTGGAGAGTTCTGCTTTCTTCATTGTAAAAGTTTATTTTCCCAAAAGTTTAAGATTTGCTGCTACTATTATAATCTATCCCATAGAACTACTGCCAGCTTCAGTGGACTGGATTCTCAGTGTAGAGAATGAAGACATACTCAACCTGTTTGTCTTGGTGAGGGTATGATACAGTGGAACCCCTCTAATCCGGACACCAATGGGACAAAAGAAAGTGGCCGTAATATTGAGGTGTCTTTTTGTTCAGGGGTCAAATTATCGCATGATGCAAGAAAGAACTGCTATTAGAAAAGGTGTCTTATTGGAGGAGTGTCCTCATTTCAGGGGTTTCCTTAGAGAGGGTATGGTACCCTGTCACCTATGTAGTACTATCTGTACTTGTAATTATCGACCCATTGCTTCTATATAGTTCAAACGGATCCAAATATCGTGCTGTGCACACACATTCTCCGAGCCTGCGCCCTCTGAGAGTGATTCGGTCTACTGCCGACTGCTGTCGAGGATAGGGTTCACTAATCAGAGGGGCCACCTCATGTACGAGGCGCAGACGGGATTCTGTGGACTGGACATGATCACACTCACTATCGCTGCCATTCAGTCTGTGACGCCATCCAGCCGCCAAACTTGCTGAACCTGTTTGCTGTGTATCTCTATGTAGTAACATATCAGCCTCCTCTATGCGTGTACGTGTGTTCCAGTTTCCAGTAGGCCAAAGGTCGCATGCACATACGTACACTGTGGGTGTTCTGGCAGTGGGGGGCCTGGGAACAAGACCACTTATGGTTCCTTGCCAAGTTGCTACCAGCCACATCAGGAAGGGTTTTACTGTTAGGATCTTAGTATAGTAGGCATTAATGTATATACAATACAAGACCAGTAATTAAGAGCCTGGTTCATAACACTTTACAGGTTATAATCCGGTTTCATATGTACGCACTAAAACATACAGTACATGTACGAGACAGGTTGGAATCAGGTTTCAAACCTGTTGGGCGAGGCCGGAGGAGGCAACAGTGTCCTCTTGGGACTCCCAGGAGACACAGCGATCGGCCAGGACCTGGAAGGCTGCCCACGCCAGCGATGTCACTCTGTGCTCCTCCTCATCCTCCTCCCTACCCACCTGACACCACACACACAAGCCAACAGACCTCAGTTTTCCTCCTCACACATTTCTATAGTTCACAGTAGTATATTATGGTAGTACAATAGTACCTCAATGGGTGTGGCGGTAGACACATTACTGCAGAGTCTGTCCAACAGCTTCACCAGTCCACTCCTCACCAGACAAGTCTCCTCCAGTCTATACAAGTAAGAAAGATGATGATCAACACCCTCTCTCTCTCCCTCCCTCTCCCGCCCTTATCGATCTATTGCCAGCTTTGTCTGATAGAAACCCCTCCTACACTGTACATACCTCTTGACTAATAGTCTGCCCCCCTCCTACTGCCTCTCTTCTTCTGACTGACCTGGTGTAGGGCACCACGCAGAGCATGGCAATGGTATTGATGCACTTGGACGGCTGTTTGCTTGCCAGCTCCACAACTGCATGCATCACTCCAGCAAAGGCCTCCCTGACCTGCTGGGCCGTGCCTCCACACCCTATGTCCTTTACCCCCGGACCTCTCTGGATCACTGAACTGTTAGCAGATGGAGAGAAGAGAGGGGAAGAGGGCCAAGGGAGGGTAGTACATACTACATTGCAGAGTGGAAAACGTTTAAGGCACATATGCACATAAATTCTCGCAACATTGAAATTAATGTTCTCCTTGAAAAGCATTGCGGAAAACCAACCAGTGTAGGTTTCTTCATTAAATGCCCACTCTCGAATATACATACACATCACGTGTCAGTCACATGATGGTCAGATGACCTACCCCCACTGAAGCCAGGAGGTGCTCCACAGCTAAGACAGTGACGTGGTCGCTCGAGAGGAGCTGGTAGAGGTAGCGGAGAGCTCTTGTTCTGCACACTCCGCGACGCCACTGCTGGTTGGCTGCAGCCAGGAAACACTCTGGCGATACCTGCACACACACACACACACCACACACAGACGGAGCAAATGAGTGAGTGTTGAATTAAGCCCAATAAACTCTTATTTACCCACAAAATGTTTTCTGAGAAAATCACATTACTCGCATTATGAAACACGTGATTTAAATCATCGGCAAGTCACGTGCAGTGCACAGCCGTTTCCATGGAAAATGCGAACTTAAAAAGTTCAGGCTTACTGCTTTCTCTGGTTTGGAGCCAATGAACATAAAGATCTGATGGAGGAGGTTTGATTTGTCAGGCAGCTGGAGATCTCCAGTAGAGCCTGCCGGCTTCGCGAGAGGCTCACCCCACTTCTCTGCCGTCTGGAGAGTCCCGGGGAGAGGAGGAAGAGGAGGGAGAGGGAAGAGGAGGGAGAGGAGGGAGAGGAGGGAGAGGGGAGAGGAGGAAGAGGGGAGAGGGAGAGGAGGGAGGGAGAGGAGGTAGAGGAGGTAGAGGAGAAGAAGAGAGAGAAGTCGGTCATAAGGTCTACAAGAAGTGTATGAGGCTCACCTGACGGCGTACTCGGATGTGATTGGTGGAGCTGAAAAAGATCGAACGTACGCCAACATCGGCACAATGCTCCCTGAATCACCTTGATCTGTGTGTTCATAGAAAGAAGTATATACAGATCGAGTGTTACAACATCCTGTACATGTTGTATATACATGTTTCTAAGGAGGGAAGAAAATTGCTTCCCCCCTCACCACCACCAAAAACAGAGGCATATATATAAAGATAATATTTTCCTGGAAAGTCTTGGGCGAGGTAGTGATCACTGTGCCTCACCAATGATTGAGTGTGGCTGACCTGCTGCACTGCTGCTGTCACCATCAGTCGAAGTGTATGATGCCAACGAGGGGGTGTGGCCTCTCGCTATGGTGACGGAGAGCAGTAAACGAGCCCTCTCCAACACTCCAGCCACCAGCTGTCGTGTCTGAGTAACACACCCAGTAGTCACATGACAATCACACTGTATCTATCTAATGTACACACTTACCACTGGTGTAGGATCTGCAATAGAATCAGTTGATGCCAAACCCTTCCTTTTTTCAACATCCAACTCCATAATATCTCTGAAGGTGAAAGCGAAGCAATACTGATAATAACAGGGGCTCTACTCACTGTGTTTTAGAGAGCACAAGTACAGAACAATGTACAACTGCAGATGCATGGGTCTCATTGTCACGTTTAAAGCATTGATCTGCATGTGTGCACAAGACCAGAAATGTATAGCTAGTATAAAGGGAGGGGGGAACGAGACACAGGCAGTGACTAAGGCGAGACAGAAGAAGAGGCACAGAGGCATACTGGAGCTGCCTGGCAGAAGTGAAGATGTCTCCGTGGCTGGTGTCAACGTTCTTGAGGCAGCAGAGGAGCTCAAAGTTCTGGAGAGACGTCTCGTGTGTTAGGAGACCGAAGAAGAAGGCGTCGGCCGGGCTCATGGAGCCTCTGGTGATGTCCTCCACGTCCGTCCACCAGTTTTTCTCCAGCTCTGCTAGAACCTTGGGAGACAGGGAGGAGGAGGAAGAGGGAGGAAGAGGGCAGACATGAGACTGAGAAGAGGGAGCAAATTGCCAAGTAAAGTGAAGAAACAACGTCATCATGTCTCTGATTATGCATATACATGTAGATAAATGTCTGTCTTATCGCTGACAACACCACACTCATATTACTGTGCAGATCATGCTCCACATGCGTACATATGTAATATTCTGCATTCATTACTACACAGTACATACGTAATACGTACCTGAAGCCTTCTCTCCAGACCATTGATTCTGGTGAAGACGGCATCAAGTAGAGACGACTGTTCCTCTGCTGTCTCCTCTCCCTCACTGTCACCACTGGCCGAGTGACCGAGGAGCTGCAGAGCCGACTCCAGTCCGTGTTGCTTCAGACACACACTCACTATCACGTCCTCCAGTAGGTCAGGCTGCAGTAGATCCCTGCATTGTGGAGGGACGGAGGAGAAATTCAATACATTGCTGGTTCCAATGCCGCTGGAAGATGAAACTTCCATTTTCCTGTATTCTCACTAAATTTGCTAAAAAAACTCTTGTGGCTTCGTACTACGTAAAATCAAGTCACTTTTTGGACCTCAGCAGTGTCTCGGTACCTTGCATACTATCTTAGTCCAATTTAATAGGACAAAACAAGCAAAAATCACAAATTTGTTTTTCAGGGACAATGTAAGTATAATGTAGACCTGGTGCTGGGTCTAAATTGTGGGCGTGGTTTCTTGGCCAGTGTCCTGAGTCTGTTGATGACGATGGGGGGCAGGGGGGAGTGGGGGGGAGGGGCAGCTATGGCCATTTCGTCTCCGCCCACTGGCAGAGTGTCGACGGCTCCCTCAGTCGTCTGCCACTCACATCTGGTGTCCAGGGGAGAGGCAAGAACAACATGAGGCAGGACCTTAAATAATTCATGAGCAACTGGAAGCGCAATGTGTGAGCTGATATTAATTGTATGTCTAACTGGGACTGTATAAGCGAAAAAAATCTTGAATTTCAAGACCATCTATTATCATTTACCGTCCCATTCTACAGTTTTCCCTAGTGGTAAGTAACCCACTGTTGGAGGAGCTCCGAGTCAGTGAGATGTCGACACTGTCTCTCCTCCGGCGTGGTGGCCGGTCCTTCGTAGAGACTCCCGATGAGGGAGCAGCTCACGGAGGCCAGGGACAGGTACACATCGACGGGGAAAGGGAGGGCAGAGGAGTTGTCCTCTGAAGACTCCTGGGGCCTCACGGTGCAGGAAAACCCCCACATGGCCTGGTCCGGCGTGCTGTGCTCTCGACCACTCTTCATGTCAAATGTTAGCGTCACCACGTCACCCTCGACCTTACAGAACACATTTGAAACAAGAACAACGTGAATGAAAAAGTTGCTGTATTGAAAACTACATAAACCGCTGCACTACTCAAAGCATTAAAGATGTACAGTTCGATGAAAAAGTAACAGTGATACACTACATGCACATACAGCAGCCCCTATATGAGAAAAAATGTACTTAATAAATAAGCTCTATTTCATACGCACCTTTACAATGTCTTTGGGCCATCCTTTTCCCAGTACACTGCGACTACCAAAGCCGTGGGTATTGCCTCCGTATTCAGCCACTTTCGGAGCCGACGGAGCGTCCCCGGAATACACAATGACCTTGTCATAGTCGTACTGTGACGAGCAACGAGGGTCAAACTTGAGGTAGAGGTTCCGTGCCCCGGGGAAAGACACGGTCTCCTTGAACTTGTAGTTGTCTCGCACGGGATGGATCGTCTCCACGGTTCGCCCCGTGGCCCAGGGACAAGGGACTTTGATGGCCGACAGCTTGTCTGAGTCACCGTAGAGAGTGCCGCACAGCTGGGGAAAGAGGGGACAAAGTGCTCCAAAAATATTTGGTGGATTTCTTTTAATTGCCAAAACTGAAGCTGCGCTATACACTGTGTGCATTATGTGTATCAGAGGTGTTGTGAGGTGGAAGAGGCACTGATCTCAACCTCCCCACCACACAGGGCCACACTCTGACACGGTCTCTGCCTATTGCTATATGTTGTACGTGGAGGTCTTTACTGCCCCAGTTCTCCTGCAGCTGGGCCAGCTATAGGATCCTCAACACGAGTGGCGGCAGTCTGAGAAACACACCGCACAGTTTGCTCTATGTGTACACCATCTGCCACCCAGTTTGTCTCTAGCTAGGTCAGCTCTAGATGCATGTACACGATTCTCACATGACCTACTGTGAAGGTCACATGTTTGTCACATGACCAACTGGTAAGGTCACGGGACAGTGTGTCGGGAGTATCGCTAGTGAGAGGCACGGTCTCAGCCCCACATCTCAGCCTCCTGACTGGAGTATTGTATGTGTGGTGGTGGGTTGGGCTCCTCTGCACCACACAGCAGAGAGAACCACTATAACACACACCACCACAGACACTGTCTATCTACACCACCCATACTCCTTTATTTCCCTCCCTTTTCCCCTTCTTCTTCAGTGCCATCTCTTTAGTAATAGTACCACACGTGCTCTACGTGTCTGCACTGTACATCAACAATCCTGATCAATGTATATGGATTGACCGATCAACCCAATTGGGTATGGATTGACTAGAATCGAGCCTCTGTTGCTGGAAAGTCACAAGCATGTATGTATACCAAAGTATGGACCACCAAATCATTCATGTCAACTCTGCTGGTAAAATGTGAGCACTAGGGGTCAACTACATATGAACGAATGCTGGCTCCTCCTCAGCCTATCTCTCACCTGAGCGGCAAGCTGCACCAGAGGATGCAGGCTCTTCTGCAGGAAGTTGGCCATGGTCAGAGTACACACTCTCCGGTCTCTGACAACAACCAGGAGAGGTAAGAGTAGTCCTCCCACGACTGTGGCCTTGAGAGCTCTCTCCACAGCAGGCACCCACGCTCCTCTCTCCCCTCTTCCTCTCTCATCCTCCTCCTCCTCCTCCTCCCCTTTCTCTTCCTCTTCTCGAGCCAGCTGCAACTCCAACCCATTGTACAGAGCCTCAAGAGTCTGGAGAAGATAATGAATATTCTTTTTGTGTAAAAATCTTTGATCTGCAAACAACAAATGCCACATTAAAGTGCATACCTGTTGACATGCTCTGAAGATGTCAAAACTGTTGCACAGTCCAAGCAGAGTCTCCTGTGCAGTCTGAATATAGAAGAATAACACACATCGTTTGTATGACAAGTTTCACTCTCACCTGTAGGCTCACGACTGCCTTGCTCTCATCCCCCCTGCCATCTCCGCCCTCCCCCCCTTCCTCTCCTCCTCGTCCTCCCTTTCCCCCTTCCCCCCCATCTCCCCAGTCTTGTCTTCCAGCTCCGCGGCGTGGGCGAGAATCCGTAGAGAGACGTTCACGAGGGATGAAGCACATTGGAGACTGGGGCTGAAGACTGGCTGGGTACAGCCGGTGTTGCTGGCTGCTAGCTCGTGGAGTGGGGTTTGGAGACACTGTGAGACCGCCGCTAGTGAGTCGTCCACTACACTATCTTGTAGTAGGGGACACAGCCTGGAGGGAATGGAGAGGAAGGAAGGAAGGAACAGAGGGAGAGAGAGAGAGAGGGAGAGAGTAGACGAGAGCAAAGTAATGACAACTGAGCAAGGTACAGTAGTAGACCTGGACATGGTGACAAAAGAAAAAAGAGAAAAACTAACAAAGGTGAAGACGTATTACTATTGCCCTGCAGACTGTATACATAACAGCAGCAGCAGCAGCAGTAGTACGTGTGTACCTCAGAATAGCAGGAGAGAGGGAAGTGGCAAGGCGTAGTTTGCTGGCAGTCTGGACTAGAAGTTCATCTTTCAGGGCCAGAAGACTAGGTTTGCTTGAATCTACAACAAAACAACGAAACTGACAAAAAAAACACAGTTGCGACTTCTTACCGGCCTGATGAAGAGTTTGGATAAAGTGGTCGGCATTCTCGTGATTAAGAAACAGGTCCTCTGCATTGAAACTGCACCAGTAAAATGATGACAGGTTAGTGTGAGTTTGGCCACACCCACTAGCTCCGCCCACCTGATGAGTTTCCTGGTCTCAGAGTGCAGCGATTGGGGGCAGTCGGGAGTGGTGAGGAGATCCCACAGCAGAGCTCTGTGACAACAACAGCCTTCGTGGGTGTGACTCATACACCATGTGTCATTACAGACCTGACTCTCTCTGTGTAGGGACCAATCTTAGTCTTGAGGCTCCCTCTCTTTAGGAATGCTGGCAACACTGCCTGAGAACACAACACAACCAAATTTGCCACTAGCATATGTACGTACTTTGTGTATGTGTGTGTGTGTGTGCGTGCGTGTGTGAGTGTGTGTGTGAGGTCACAGACCAGAAGTGTCACGACGAGAGCCTGGCAGTTGTCCCAGTCTCTGGCCGCCAGAGCTGACCCCAACAGGTCACATGACTGCTCCAGGAATGACAGCGGGAGGTTGTGGGGAACCACGTCCCTTGTCTCGGCTCCGGGGGACAGCCGACACGACTCGATCCCAATATGCCTCAGGAGCAACTTGATCGCCTCAGACACTGATATATAATAATCACAGGGGCAACCTCCAGATACAGTAATAGTCGCTCACCTTCCACAGTCTTCTGGGACTTGTCGGTGACAGGAATAAGGTCTTGTGTGGAGGTCTTACCGAGCCGACTGGCTAGGAGGTGGACTGCGGGTCTGGCCTTACCACAGCAGTCCCACAGATCGACCCAGTCATCGTTGGAGGTCCAGACACAGTGGTTGATGGAGTCATAGCATGCAGCTGAGCACGGGAAAGAGATTATGTCACAGTGTATACATTGATCATTTGATGGCATCGTTTATATCATAGTAGCTAGGAAAAAAATTACAAAGTGCAGTACGCATTGTAATACAGTGTCACACTGTGAGCTTACATTTTCATTTATCGTAAAATAGATGGGGAAGGGGAGAGAAAAATGTGTGTTCTGCTAGTACACTTCTGTTTTCATTAAAAAGGAGGAGGAACAAGGAGGAAAAGAGAGGGTGTGTTCAGGGAACTAACGTCTCACCCATATTGTTGACGGAGGCTCCCTTGGCCAGGGCACAGTGGAGAGTGGGGCTGGGCATTAGTTCGCTCTGCGACACTGCCATCCCGGTGGACATGTTGAAACACACACTCACACACAGAGCTGAGGTGAGGTACATACGAGACAAAGAGAATATCACTGAAGTTTCATTACCGTGCGATGGGAGTGATTGGGTTTCATTCTGCTAGTGTGCTAAACTCACTCATCTCAGTATTTTCATGGTTCAAAATGAGGCAGCAATGCAAAGGCAGGGCAAGCGACACAACTAGAGGAGTTTGGATGTAAGTATACCTTTGGCTAGAGAGGGTCCAAAGAGCCCCCTTCCTCCTGATGTACTGGGAGGAATTATGAGAACCAGTGAGGACCCTGTGGTGTAGGCTGAGCAGCTCTGGAGGACACGCATCGTGACTCCGACACTAGTTGCTCCAGCTATACAATAGAGGGGTGAGGGGGGAGGTGAGAAGAAAGAGAGAGTGTTTGATCATTCAAGCAACTTGACCAGCTAAGACTTCAAAAAATATTATTTTACCTATAATAATAGCTATACAGTACTAGAACAGTCTGGTGAGTATAAGAGAGTGCATACATGTAGTTCCTCCCGACTCACAGTTGTCGTCCTTGCTGCTGCCAAGGAGGGTGGAGAAGGCAGCGGCAGACGAGGCGTAGGAGGGATTGGCTCTCACCAGAGCCTTGACCACCTCAGAGTTCTTGTCTTTGTCGAGAGCTCCTCTCTGGAGGAGGACCGGCTCACCGGTTGACTGGAGAACTGGCGACTCAGATGAACTACTATCAGAGGTAGCCTGGAGAGAAACACAGTCAACACAAGTAGAGAGGAGTTGCAACCATTGAGTGTTTGTTTGGCAAAATCACACACGTTTCGTGCACGATACAGTGCTAAAAAATGGTGACGTTTGGAGAAGTTTTGTAGTATGTGCAAAGGACACAGTTTGGCATTTTTCATTGTTATGCGCACTGTTTAACTAATAGACTTGTTACATAAAGAAAACCAAAGAAACTGAGAACTAAATGGAATGAACGGTATAGAGTAGGCGGATGAACCTGCACACCTTCACTTGAAACTGTTGGAGGAGCACTGGATACTGTTTGATCTTGTCTCCAGTGACAGGGTTGGCCACCCCGTCCGTGGCTCTCTGGTGGTAGAGCCAGTAGACAAACAGACCGTCTGAGAGCATGTAGAGGCCCTGGGCCCCTTCGGGCAGGGGGGAGGACAGCGAGAGCCTGCGGCAAACCTGGGAATAATCAAAGAATTACAGCATTTGATTTGGGTGATAAGTGTGTAAGACTTTAACACACTATTTGAGAACGCAATATTTTTGGGCATGCCCCTTGAGTAAAACGGAACTTGATACAGTGTAAAATTTCAACTCAATGTGCTCAAATTTAGCAGACCCAGACCTTTAGTGTCGTGGAGTCAAGCTCAGAACAGAACATTTCGCCGTCCTTGCCCTCTGTTTCCTTTGGTCTGTGCAATAATCGTCCGTTGTTCCACACCATCCACCCTGGTTCAATCTCCCGACTACAGTACACATATCCCCTGGGGAGAAAGAGAGAGGGAGGGAGGGAGAGGAGATAGAGAAAGGTAACACATTCATCAGTCACCACATTACAACAGTGAATCAGTGATACAGGTGTATGTATATACCATACGTGTGCATTTTTTTCAATGTAAAGCTGTCAGCTTACATGACACAAGATTAGAAACCAGGTCTATTCTTGTGTTAAGGTTTACGCTGCATTGTGGCATTCGAGTCCATTACAAAGTTGGTTTACTGAATTCACCTCTCATCTTTACCTCACAGTAGATTGCTTACCGGATAGTGCCGAGTTGTCCAGTCCCTATCTTGAGCAGTCTACTAAGTGAGGTGCTAGTGACGTAGACAAATCTCCCGTCAAATGCAATGGACCTCCGACCAGCTCCATCCCTCCCTCCTCCCTGGCCCACGGCAGCTGCATCCTCGTAGTTCCAGCAGCCCAGGTGGGCATCGGGCGACAGACATGTCGCGTCCTCGTTGTTCAAGTGTTCGTGGAGCAGTTTCGAGAGTATTCTGGGCACCAGGAGAGTGAGGTCCGGGTAGGCTGATTGGAGGCTCTGGAGCGCGTGAACCGTTCTCACCAACAGACTTCCAGTCCCTCTAGAGCAGAGCAAGTACATACTACATAATAGAGATCGGGTATTTTACAGCACATGTGTACAGTGAAACCTAGCTCTGATTAAGGGACACCTTGGAGATATTGAAAGTGTCCTTTATTGGGGAAGTCCCTTATTTAAGGTAAAGCTGATTGGTGTGGTATGAGGGGGTGTCCTTTATACCCATGTCTTTAGCGTCCTTTTTCAGTGTCTGTATAAACAGAATGCATCATACAGGGTCAGTGGTTGCGACAGTACAACATTCCAAAAGACATGGGAAGAGTGTACGTAAGTGGTGTAAGGTGTACATACCATTGAAGGCATTCACTGCTGCACAAACAAAGCTGAAAATGCAAGTGCATCAAAAGAGTGCTAAAATTTCGATTGGCAAGTATGTTGTTTAGTTTCGGTCAGCATGAGTATTTCGGCAAACATTACATATGTGTATGTGTGGCTTGAAACATTTTCACTTGACTTATCCGTGAAAATTTGTGTTTCAAAAGTTTAGCTCTCTTACAGTATGTACGTATCTTACACAGCTACTGAGAGGGCAACGAGGGCAGAGGCGGCATTCTGGACCTGCGTGACCCCAATCCTCGTCTTCTCTTCCTCCTTGTTCACCCCCTCCTCTCTCCCCCGCGCACCGGTGAGCCACGAGTGTAGCAGACTCTCCAGCCCGTGGACACAGTCCAACTGCTCCCCGCTTAACGAGAGGGGCTCGTAGACTCTGAGACACTCCAGGAGACCGCTGGCCGCCTCAGATGACAGGGTCGGGTCGAATTGACTCAGCGATTTCATGATTGGGAAGATGAGAACAAGGCTAACGCGGGATGCAAACCCGACAGATGTGGGCCCCGCAGTCGAACTGGTAGAAGACCCGCGAGTCGAAGCAGTAGAGGAGTCTTTCGATGAGGACGCTGTCGTCTGCTCTTTCTTCTTGTTTAGTCTCACTGCAGACCAGTAGCCACGCAGGGCATTGCACCTGTACTCCATCAGGCTGGCGTAGGTGGTAGTTTTGGTACCGCATTCTCTGAGGATTATGTTTGCCAGGTCGGGAGTGCTCTTCCCGTCCATCACAGGGAGGCCCTGGTCACTCTCCGCGACCTCTGTGACCCCCGAGGGCACGGGGATGTGGTCAGCAAGTCTCATTAGTCCACTGTGGAGCAGGAGCTGCTCTTCGTTAGTGGCAAGCCATAGCCAGAAGTCCCCAGGTTTCGGGCCTGGCTGGCTCGCCATTTCAAAACACTACATGTAAGGGGAATGGATTATCAATTACGTATGTTCAATGGAAACAGGAAAGAAGGTATAAACATCCTGGAATCTTCTAGTTAGCGCCCGCCACCCGCCCCACCCCCTTCTCCTCGCTCCTACCACCGTTGCCATGCACAAGCTCACCTGCCTACTCGAAGCTCTACAGTATGTGCTCGTGCAGCACCGTGCACGCACAAGTCTGTAGCAAGAGGTCCTCTCTTTATTATGGACGAGGAAAAAAGCAGGAGACCCTTTACTTCCTTCGTCTCTTTCCTTGGTAACGAAAATTATGGAGGTCCCGGGGGCCGGGGGACGGGACACGGGGGGTGTGTCAAAAAATCACGTGACTGTAAAATGACGTAATTACGTAGCGAACGGGGAAGAAGATTACGCAGCAATGGCGACTAGTGCTAGTCCAGGAGAGGGAGGAGACTCGGAGAAGAACAGTGACGGTCGCTACGAGTGCAACATATGCTTCGAGTCGGCAACCGACGCCGTCGTCAGCATGTGTGGCCACCTCTTCTGGTGAGCCTTTCAGTAGCCAACCCTATCTAGTGCTCTCCTGCTGTCCAACTCGTCCTAACACCCACTCTTGATCTCTCTCTACCTTATAGTTGGCCGTGCATCCATAGGGTAAGTTTAGTATATAGAGTCAGTGGAGAGAATTGGTGATCCCTGTGTCTTCCAGTGGATGGAGAGCAAACCGCACAATCCTACGTGTCCCGTCTGCAAATCGAGGATAGAGAAGGATCGCCTCATACCACTGTATGGTAGAGGAGCTTCAGACACCACTGATCCCAGGTAGCCCCCACAGCCAGAATATTTCGAAAAAAACTTTGAGTAAGATTCAATTCACAGAGAGAAGATACCTCCTAGACCGCCCGGACAGAGGGAGGAGCCTTCTCAACAGAATGATGTGAGTCACGTGACTATCACGTGAGAGCCAAGATCTATTTGATTGGTCAACATCTAGATTGGAATGGATGGGATTCAGTTTTCCTTTGGCATCGGAGCGTTTCCTTTTGCATTGATGGGAGGGGTATGTCGTCTCTACCAGAGCAATATTGATTTATCATTAGCAACATTCTCTTTCCCATTTAGCCAATGCTTCAAATGTTTGGTAATAGACCAAGAGGTGAGGAACATTTTAAGGTGCTGTGTTCAGTGGATTGTGACAGACTGTGTTTGTGCACAGGCCAGCAACATAATATGACACAGCAGGAAAGAGAACAGAGCCAAAGAATGGCAGCTCTCTTCACCACTGTGGCTGTACTTGTTCTCATCCTCGTCCTGTTCTCGTAGCCTCCTTTTTATGTGTGTTAATATTGGTTCTTTTTGCGCATGCGTAAAACTTCGCGTTGCGATGGCAACGTTTGCTTAGGCGGGCATCTATTGGAAAAACGTCCATTCGACGATGAGCGAGTCTCCGTCTACCGAAAAAGCTAGGAACCAGCTATGCGCGGCAGAGTCCCGACTGAGCCTGCCGTTGGAGCTGCTGGCAGGAGAGTGGCTGGAGCAACGAGGCAGAGGGACCTCTTATCTGATGGGGTCCCTGCTCCCTACACTCGTACTGGGCATGGACAAACTCCTTACTCAGGTCGCCAGACAACTGAATGGGTGGTGGGACTCACGTTGTACGTAGAGTTTATTACTGTGTGCATGCAGGTGTCGGAGAGGGGACTGGAGGAAACTGAGGAGAGACAATATGACTTTAACCCCGTCAATCTCCTGGCCCAATACCTCATGAGGAATAACCCTCGCCACACTCACCTCCCTCCAACCCACCCATACTCCAAACAACTCCAGGAGGTGACATCCCAAATCACTACCATTATTCTTTATTATAACTTTGGGAAAATACGTATGCACAGGTTTCCCAGCAGTTACAGCAGATGTCTTTCAAAGGTCTAGAGAAGAGGACACTACAAAATTCTCAGAGAACAGAGTCAGATTGACTACACCAACCACACACTACAATCAATTTTATGGAGCACAATGAGCAGCCAGTCAGAGTGAGATGAACGACATACATACATATTATACACACACCCACAAGCAGCAACAGAGTACACAGTCATCACAAACATAACAGAGAAGATTGGAAACGGTCAGATCCTGCATGGGGGGAAGGAAGGGTGGAAGCAAATGAGTACATTTTGGATTGTATATAAGAGGATTTGAGACTCACTTTTTCACTACTTGGACGACGTCCTCGTCCTGGAGTATGTGGTCTTTGCCAACTTTCTGTGGCTGATGTTTGACTGATGATCCCCACACCACAGCACTGCATACAGTCAGAATTACTTAAGGAAAGCAAAGGACACTTTCAATATTCCCAGTGTCCTTTTTTTACTGTATATACACACTCAATAAAGCAACTCCTGAGCAAAATTTATCTTTCTTACTGTTTGAATTCCTTCATGATGCTCTTGTGAAGAGTGTTGCAGAAATCTTCAACACCGGAGTGACCGTCCTGCAATACCACTGGAGCTGAATAGTCTGGTAGCTGTCCTTTTGGCTTCGTATAGCTACACCATCAATGCAGAGAGAGAGAGAGAGAGCAGTGAGTGTGAGAGGGAGTTCAGATTAGCAAGGCTGCGTGTGGAAGTCATACATTCTGATAAGGCAGAGATAGGACCACATTTTCTCAAGTAGATCGTCAAAGTTCCACTTGTGGTGGGCAGAAATCGGGACGGCGTGCGGAATCTTGTAAATTATGTCCAACTCCTACAAAGATGGAGAAACTGGTTCAAAATTTGCATAATAATATGTTGTCTCACTCAACAAAATTTACTGTGTGTTGACCTTATGTACCTCAATGGAAATCTGGTCAATCTTGTTGAGGAGGTATATGGCGGGTATGTATATCCTGTTGCCCTCGACAACGTCGATGATGTCATCGGCCGTGGCATCACAACGGAGGGTGATGTCGGCATTGTGGATACGGTACTCTGCCAGGATACTCCGGACCATCTCCAGATCCAGTCTGGACTGTACCGCCTGCACACAGAACAAGCAGACACATAACACACTCACATGGCCTGTTCGGAAGGCAAAAGTACCGATTAGTAGTTTTAGCTATTGTTGTACTGGGTGTGGCTCCTTACGGGTGTGGTCATGTTGATCCCTCCTTTCTCCTTCTTCTTGAAGCTGATGTTGGGAGGTCTCTTGTTGAGTCGTATCCCAAACCCCTCCAGCTCCCTCTCAATGATCCTCTTGTGCTCCAGTGGCTTCAAGACGTCGAGAATAATGAATATGAGGCTGCAGGTCCGGGCCACCGCAATGACCTGTCTCCCTCTCCCCTTCCCGTCCTTTGCCCCTTCAATTATACCAGGCAGATCTAGCAGCTGAACGAGAGAGGGGGAAGAATGATAAGCGGCAGTGTCTGCTCCCTGACATTTGCTGTGTGAGTCATGCAGTGTCTCTGTGTGTGCACCACAGTACTGTGTATTCTGCATTTAAAGTGAATTCAGTCTGTGTGGCTCCACGTCTGTGGATCATAATATATGCTATGAGATTAGTTTAACAGAAAACCAGAAAATACTTGTAGTAAGTTTCATACAATAACGAAATATTTGACATGGTGCCAGAGTGTATGCTCACAAACTACCATAGTTAATATGAACATGCGTATTTTAACCTGTATCCGGGCTCCCTTGTAGCGGACGACTCCAGGGACAGTGGTGAGAGTGGTGAACTCATAGGAGGCCACTTCGGAATACACCCCTGCCAGATTGGTCAGCAGAGTCGACTTACCCACTGATGGGAATCCTGGGAGAGATGGAGGGACGAGGGGGCAGAGGAGAGAACAGTGGTACTCCTTTGAAATAAGGGTACATCTCTGATAAAGACACCTCTTCTTTCCCAAGAACAGTTTTCTTTGCAAGTTTAGAAGTAGGACACCTCAATTCCTGTGTTGGAGAGTTTCCTACCTACAAATCCAATCCTGGCATCTCCTGTCTTGGCCACGTCAAATCCTTCCCCGGGACCCGAGCTACCTCCCTTCGGCGTGATGAGCTCTCGACGCAGCTTCGCCAGCTTGGCCTTGAGCACGCCGAAATGTCTCTCTGTCGCCTTGTTTCGTTGGGTCCGAGCCATCTGAGGAAGGGAGGGGGACGCTAGAGCGCCGGACCGTGGTTTGCTAGCGCTCCTTACCTCGGCCTCTATGTCTGCTATCTGCTCTAGAATGGTCGGCATCACGATCACCACACTAACTTCCACGTGTGCAAGGGATGGTGGAACAGTTTCTTGCTGTGTTTCTAAAAAGAGCGCAGCTTTTTTTTCTATTAGACGCGCACCAACAGAGGCCGGCAGCCGCGGGAGATTTGAGCTTCGCACAGCTGATCCTACTTCGCTCACAGAGATGGCAAGTAACAATGCTTATCCTACCATACTTTATGCATGTTTTTCTCAGTCAAAGAAGAGGGGATTGAGTCTGGAAGAGAAGAGGACGCGACTCCTCGATATTTTCTTTGAGAAGGTTCGAAGGAAAAAAGAACAGATCCACACATACACATAGTTTGTAACATCAACTATAGAAGGAGTTTTTCCAGCTGAAGGAGCTAGAGAGTATTGCTCCCAAGCTGAAAGGAATCAGTGAGCAGCGAGTTGAGCGGCAAGCATTTTTCCCACTGTTTTTTGCCCCTCTCTCCAGCATCAATGTCAGTGAAGGAAGTCCTACAGAGTCTGGTTGATGATGGTATGGTGGACACGGAGCGGATCGGAACCTCCAACTACTTCTGGGCTTTTCCTAGCAAGGCTTCCAACCAGGTTAGATAAGGGAGAAAAAGAAAGGCAGAGCCTAAAATGTATAAGTTTGCAAGAAGTAACTACTTTTTTGATATGGGCGTTTTTAATGCAACTGCACAGAAAAATGATCGATTTTTGTGGAAACGAGTCACATTGGCTTATGATGCTAATCAGTGAGGGTTCAGTGATAACTGCTATGGTTGTAGAAAAAGAGAAGGCTAAAGGAGCTGCAGAGACAGTTGGCAGAGGGTGAGAGGAAGAGGCAGTCACTGGAGCAGGAGATAAAGACAGCATCCGTTGGCAGGGAAAAGTCGGTCAGGAGACTCTGGACGCCGTGTCCTGATTACGGAGGTGTCCTGAACTGTTGCAGGACGAGAGAGAGGAGCTCCTGAAATCGCTGAGGGAGAAACAAGGACTGAAGAAGAGACTGGCAGATGAGCTCAGTCAATACCGGGACTGTGATCCAGCCGCAATCACTCACATGCGTACGTATATTAGGCAAATTAAAATTGCATATTGAAGGTATATGGATTTTTCTCGATACAGGTGAACAGACTAGGATTGCTGTTGATGCAACTAACAGATGGACAGGCAAGCACTCTCATTCTATTTCTGCCTCTCTATATAACATTGTACTGCACGCTGTAAATGCAGATAATGTGTTCTCAGCCAAGAGCTGGTGCAAGAACAAGTTTGGGCTGGAGGACTCGGCCATTGACAAGCAGTTTAGCATTCCTGAGGACTTTGACTATATCAACTAACATCAGTTCCCTCGCAATCCTATCTAGCTCGCTCTCTATACTGAGATATATAGATACGCAAAGCGCCAGCTGGTTGCTAATGCGCATGCGTACCAAGACGCAAAATGACTTCTTCACGCTCGCATACGGGAGTTTGTGGCTGTAGAGGTGCTAGAACGTGTCTCCTCTGCGAGGGAGAGGTTGGGAAACCCGTCAGAAGAGATGATACTGCTTGTCCTTCGCTGTACCCCTGCTACAGATGCGGCGAGGTGCGCTCGTCGCTCGAGGACTGTCGCCGATCACGAGACCCCGCCCTCTCTCCACTCCGCGTCTGCAGCAGAGAACCCTGCAAGGCATCTAAAGTCCTCAGCCCTTCCCTGCCCTCGTTCACGCAAGCCACCACTCCCCCGTTTGACGGCGTGACCGTCGTGAAGGAGTTCCTAACGAAGGAAGAAGAGGCCGCCATATTGTCTGCAGTTGACTCTCACGCCTGGATCGACTCTCAGTCAGGGAGAAGGAAACAGGTGAGACTAAACTTTGAGCACAACTTCAGACTTGTGTGAGCACTTAATCAACAGGACTATGGACCAACGGTGAACTTCAAGCGACAGAAGTTGAAGCTGGGTGCCTTCAGGGGCCTGCCACATTTCATCGAACCACTTGTGAAGAGGATGAGAGAGGAAGTGGATGTTCTTGCTGACTTTTTCCCGTGGAGTTGTGTAACCTTGACTACAGACCGGAGAGAGGAGCACACATTGAGGCACATCGCGACGACAGCTGGCTTTGGGGGGGAGAGGCTGGTCACCCTCAACCTCTGTTCTCTCCACTCTCCTCACCTTCTCACTACCCACCTCCCTACACCCTCACCCTCCACAGGACACACTACACCCCCAACCTCCACAGGACACACTTCACCCCCACCCCAAAATCCACGTACCCCTACCTCCGCAGTCACTAGTCGTGGTTCAAGGAAATGCAAGACACGCCTGGCTCCATTCAATAGAGAGAGAAAACATTATTACCAGAAGAGTGGGGATAACCCTGAGAGAATTGACTAATGAGTTTCTGCCTGGTGGAAACTCTGAAGGGATCGGGAGGCATTTATTAGATATAGCTCAGCAGTTTACTGGAGAGCCAACTAACTTCTAATTAATTTTATTGTGCTGAAGATTGATGTGTATTATGACTATATACATACACTGGTTAATAATAGAGATTTTATGTGTTGATGCTATCGTTTCTTGCGGCCTTTTCTCGAAGCTGTTGAGGAGGAGGAGGAGGCATGTGAGGTGGACTGAGTCACCACCAGTTGACCTTCCTTTATCTCCTGACAGAGAGAGATATATAATAATAAACAGAAGGAGAAGGGAGAGAGAGAGTACATCGCAATTTGGCAAAGTCAGATTTTGCACACAAATATCCCAGTTACACACGGCAAGAGAGGGATTGCCAGCTCACCTGTCTGGCTTCCTCAGGGGCTCTCTGCAATCTTCTTCTGAGTCTCGAGGTAGAACATGAGGTCTCTCACTTGCTCTCTCAGATCTCGCATCTCCTGCAGTGACATGATCATTAGCACAGCATGTCTTACTGTCAATATAATTATAGCATCACTATTATTATGTCTATGGTCAAACAGCTAACTGTATGACTGGTAGAGATTCAGGCTTAGGGTAACCTATATATGAGTGGACTCAGAAACCTTGAGAAATTTCGTTAGTGCTTGAGTTTTCAAGGTGCTGACGTAAATAAAAATGTGCCTATTAAAAGATTTTGAAGATGACTCAAAATTTTGTCTCCTTCAAAAGTGTCCTGCTGTTACCTTTTCCTTTTGCTTGATGGTGATGTCTATCTTTTCCTCCAACATTGTGACTCTGTCTTTCCACAGTCTCTGATTGTCGGAGAGACACTTGTTCATCTGCAGAGAGAGGGAAATGGGACGGAGGGCGAAATACATACAGCATCAGCTCAAACTGGAAGAACAGATTAGCTAAAACCACTATGCCAAAAACATACTTGCTTCTCCTCGTTCAGTTGTGTCGACAACTTTTCCAACTTTTGCTGGAGCTGGAAAGAAACAAAGACATGAAATCATTCACATGGCACCTCCTTTATAATTGACACTCTGCACAAGAAATACACTAGTGTCCATCCGGGGCTAAGTACTTTTAGTGCTCTGTAGAAAATGACTCAAGCTTGTCCTACATAATATAGAGGCTCCACTGAGTGTATATACATAAGATATTGATGACTGGGTGGAAGCTTGGATACTGTGAGATGCAAACACTGTCACTACACATACCAGAGAATAGCCAGTGGTCCACTGACAGGAGATATTGGCAGTTGTTGTAAGGCTGTCTGGAGGTATGTATATATTATGGGGCCTAGGGCACCATACATGGCATGTTGTTGGACTGACAGGGAAGCTATATGGAGGTAAACAGTCCGCTGAAAGGGAGCCGCAAGCAGTACTGTGTAGGCCAACAATAGAAAGAGCACAGCTCGGAAATTCTACACTGTATGTGGAGGTGACAGACACATATACTAGGCAGCTTTCTCAATTTGAAAAAATTTGCCACCTTTCCAGAGAGATTGAGGCGGGTAAGACGTCATTTTCCTGTATTAACCACCAACTTCCTACAAGTAACCCAGAGTTACTATCAACTGACTCTAAACCTTCCCCTCTCTGCCTACACCAGTTCTCACTCCCTTCCTGTTCTCAGCTCCTTGTCATCCCTCACCTGTTGCATCTTCTTGTCCGAAGCCTTCCTGGCTCTCTCGGACTCTGCAAGTTTCTCTTCAAGACCGTTTTTCTCTGTCACCGCACTCCTACATCTCTGCTCCATCGCAGACAGCTGTACACAAACACAACCCCATTCACCACTCACTGGACACAATGGACTAGTGAGCCACATACCTCTTCATTTGCTTCCTTTTCGACAACTGCCAGTTTCTCTTCGAAAAAGAGCCTCTGGCTCTCCAGTTGACTTGTGAGCAGATAGGTGTACTAGAAAAAGAAAAGGAAGTGGGAAGGGAAAGAGAGGAGAGAGAAAGAGAAGTTGAAAACAGAGTGGGGTCAAACGGACCTCAAGCTGCAGCGAGTCTATCTTCTCGTCATCTCCCACCTAAACAAGAGTAGAGAGTGGTTTTAACTGACTAGAGAGGTCTCCGTGGAAACCCACCATGGCTACGTGACCTCCGACCTCAACGAGTTTACCGTCCTCTTTGTTGTGTACCAGGCGATGCACATAGTTATCTACAGCATACAACAGAGTGAGAGTTAGTAGCAAGTCATCAAATTATTCATACACGCAATGTTCCGCACAAAAGCACCGTGTTGAGGGATAAGTCGTGCATTTCAGATAACTAGAAAAGCTCACCAATTATAGCTAGCCTAATTTTTGCCTCCAATAATACACATAATTGTGGGTCGCACTCCATAAAATTCAAATTACTGAGACTCGAGATTCATTAATCGGACATGTGCACACCGACACGCAACCTAATGCAGGAATGAGGAATGTACAGTATGTACGTGTTTCCTTAAAAGGGCATCTATGAAGTAGCGCCTTATATACATCCACTGCCAGCCAAACCACAGAAACACACACCTGTTCCCCAACACCCAGCGTGTAATACCCTCGTCAATGGCTACATATGTATGATATTGTCACACTAGTCCATCAGACAGCTGTGCTGACAGCTACAAGGCTCCGACACATGTATAATATATGTCCCATGCTGTGAGCACGCCTTGCAGTGTATATATAATATAGTCTGTTGGTCAATCCATATAAAACCCTGAATTGTACTGGTCTGGGCAATAAATATAAACAGCCTTGCGTAACGTGTATATATGAGTGCTGGGCTATAATTATTTCATAGGCCCCTGGTCAGTATGTAGGAGCTCTAGGGCAATATTTTTAGATCCCTGGGTATGTATGTATGGAGCTCTGGGGCAATATTTTTAGATCCCTGGGTATGTATGTAGGAGCTCTAGGGCAATATTTTTAGATCCCTGGGTATGTATGTATGGAGCTCTGGGGCAATATTTTTAGATCCCTGGGTATGTATGTATGGAGCTCTAGGGCAATATTTTTAGATCCCTGGGTATGTATGTAGGGTCTAGGGCATATTTTTAGATCCCGGGATGTATGTAGGAGCTCTGGGGCAATATTTTTAGATCCCTGGGTATGTATGTATGGAGCTCTAGGGCAATATTTTTAGATCCCTGGGTATGTATGTATGGAGTCGATGTGTGGAGCTCTGGGGCAATATTTTTAGATCCCTGGGTATGATGTATGTATGGAGCTCTAGGGGCAATATTTTTAGATCCCTGGGTATGTATGTATGGAGCTCTGGGGCAATATTTTTAGATCCCTGGGTATGTATGTATGGAGCTCTAGGGCAATATTTTTAGATCCCTGGGTATGTATGTATGGAGCTCTGGGCAGTGTTAGAGGAGTGAGTAGAGTGAGGATACTAGTGCTGACCTCCAACATAGTCCCACACTCTCTGCGTCCCTAACTGCATCGCAAACGTGTGCTGCGTCTGCACAAAATGTCTGCAAAAATACAAGCCAGACAAAAAAATTTACATGAGCAATCACGTGTATTTTTGACGGGTAGACTCACGTGTGGGCGTGTCTGCCAACATAACGCCCACAGCCAATGTTTCCACAGATGAGACAGATCCACAGATCCTGCAACAAGGAGATAGGGCGTGGTTCAAATCATGTGAGAGTCACATGATACCTCTCTGGAGTCACATGACAAACATGTGTTGTCTCCTGTGGGGTCTGGACTCTGGGTATACCTGCAGACTGGACAACTAGAGAGAGGAGTGGGAGGTGGAGAGAGGGATAAAGAGGGGGTGGTAAAGTGTACTTCATTTCTTACGTGGAGTCTTTCCATTTTGTGAGGCAGTTGGTATGAAATGAGTGGTTGCACAGAATAGTCAGCACAGAATCATCCTGACAAATGACAAACGAAAGAGGGGGAGACAGGTCACAGAGAGAAAGACAAGAAGAAGAACAACACAAAGAAACAGAGTGGGAGACTAGAAATATCGGTGGAGAACTGACCAGTTTCTCTAGGCAGACAGGGCAGGAAGGTAGCTCCACCAGGCACGGCCCAGCCAGCCCAGCTCCCTGGGAGGACTTGTCGATCCTGACTCTACTGATGTAGACCAGCTGACAGACTGTCGGCTCCAGACTGCTGTAACGTCTCCCGTTGTACAGCCTGTAGAACTCCACCGCCTTCACCTGGTGTGTGTGTGTGTGTGTGTGTGTGTGTGTCAATATATTATTATGCGCCTGTTGTCGGGTGATAATACTGCCAGAATGGTCTCAATAGATCTAGAACTGATGCCTTGTTAGCTTGAAAAGAGGCGTAATTGACAAAGTGGGTAAGGGAGCAGTTCATACGCAACGGCTGTGTAGGAGACGGAGGTGCACGTTATCAATTCAAACAGGACACTCTCCCCTCCTCAACACATACCAAGGCATTAGTTACACACCCACATGCTAGAGACATAAGACAGTCTGATGAGCATTTTGTGTACGTATATATACATACAGATGTATGATGCTATTAAAACAAGGTACTTTCAAGGTTAAAAGTTTCAATTCCCCACAGTACAAACATACGTACTGTACCTCATCTTTGAACTTGAGTAGTAACATGTACTGGTTGGGGGTATTGTCACGTATCACTCTTAGACTCTCGAAATTTGAACTGTCCACAGCCAGTAGAGTGGTGGAGAGGGAGAGGGAGGGGCAAGAGAAAGAAGAGAGAGAGAGAGAGAGAGAGAGAGAGAGAGAGAGAGAGAGAGAGAGAGGAGCAGAAGAGAAGATGGGGGTTGAAGGAGATAGGTAAAAACAGACGTGTTTGCTATGGTGGAGGGCTCACAGGATGGAGGAGAAGAAGGTGAGCAGGTCGGAGAGGTGGAGGCTGGCAGGGACACAGAGGACACATACCAGGCAGCTGGAGTGAGGCTCTGACCTGGCGATGAGAGACGGGAGGAGAAGATGGCGATGCATAAAATGTGTGTGTGTACCTATGTTTGAAGAGATGCATGACTCCCTTTATACACTCCACAGCTGGTATTCCGGAGAAAAAGGGGATCTTGTCTCGGAGTGTAGCCGTGGTGGCTCCTTTCTCGTCCCTCAGGGAGGAAGACGGAGAGACGTTGGCTGTGGCTGAGGCATACGTCCTCCCACCTCCTCCCTCACAGGAGTCTGAGAGAGAGAGAGAGCGAGAGAGAGAAAGACAAGAGGGAGGAGGGGGGTGAATGAAGGTTGCACAAGTTTCGAGCGTACCCAGCCGAGGGAGATGAGTTTCAATGCTTATGCTGTGGACGGTTCGCTCTCCAAGAGACGTCTTGGCTGTCTCAGCATCAACTGTAAGGCAGAGCTTTGTGTTCAGCTGGACAGAGGCTTGTAAACTCTCGCCCACCTTCAGAGGCACTTGCCATGAGGGGTCCGTATTCTTCACCGTAAACTAGATCCCGTAAACTCTCAGGGAGTTGATCGAGGCCTCCCTCTACTTCAAACGCGATGGTTAGAGTGTCTACTGTTGCTGTCCTCGGAGTGTGCGTGCTTCTCTTGGCTTGCAACGAAGGGCTCAGCTCAGACGTCTCTTCTGCCATTAGCTAGAACAGCATATGGGCGGGGCCAACCACCTCGCGTGTAAGCTTATTGCGCATGCGCATACGGCGTATAAAAGCACCGCTTGACCGCAAGAATTCTCTTACCACTGTCCCTCTCTATAATATAGCGTTTTTTGTCTTCTCGCTGTGGTGTATAGACTGCGATGTCTGGGCTCGTGAAGGCCAAGAAGTTTGACTGGAAGGACAGCAACCTCGCGCTGTTCGGCTCAGACACCGAGAAGAACGTGAGTTCCCGCGAGGGCTTCGGATTTTGTTACGCACCTGAGCTACTGTACGTGCTCATCCGCAGGTGAAGAAGTCTTCTGCAGAGACAGAGCCGGCCTGGAATGGTGCGGGGCAGAAGGTCGGAATCCAGATCTGGAGAATCGTCAAATTCAAGGTCTGTGTGCGATACAGCGAGCGGGCTGCAACTTACGACTCGGTAGCAGTGGATTTTAGTCGCTGATCCACGACCGCGTGTGTTAGTTTTTACCATCTCCTCTTAGCCCATGCCGAATGTTGGCGAATGCGTCGGTGTGCCTGCGCTTGCTGTACAAAGTGCGTGGATTGCTTGTACAGTTCATTAGCTCTGATTGCTTACAGGTTACCCACTGGGCCAAGAACGAGTACGGGAAGTTCTACAACGGGGACTCCTACATCCTCCTCAACACCTATAACGAGAAGGACAGCGAAGTATGTGTGTGTAGGGCCGGCGTACATGTATCTTGTTCAGTCAATAGATACCAGTTGTAGACCACTTTACTGTGTGGTGGTTCCGTAATACAAGGGCCCTTTTTGTGTAATACGCGCCGACCACACCCTGTCGATTCTGTAGGCTACAGGTGCAGCTTAAACTCTGAAACTGGTTCGTTTTTATGATTCTGTCGTCTGTTTGACTTCCAGGAGCTTCTCTACGATCTTCACTTCTGGATCGGAGCTGATTCCTCGCAGGACGAGTACGGAACTGCCGCCTACAAGACTGTCGAGCTGGACACTCTGGTAAGCTCTCCTTTTCCCTCTCTCCTCCCTCTCTCTTCCCTCCTGCCTGTCTTCCTACTGTGTATACATACACTCTGCTTGTTGTTTGAATGGCTACAGAGTTGGCTGTCTGGCATGGGTGCATTTGCCTAGGCCTGGCCAAATGCCCAATCTCTCTTACCACAATGGACCTAGTTCCATATACACACACACGCACACACAAACTCTTAAAAAGGCCTTTCAAGAGAATCAAGGCTAGACCCTAGCGGTGCGAGCTCCAAAACACAATGGCAGTGGAATTCAACCGCTGTTGAAACCGTCAATGGAACCTGTTTCCTCACAACTCTAATGCATGTGTGTTGGATGGAGTAGGAAACTCACGTATATATGCGTGCTAGAAGATGGGGAAACACATACATGTACCTAGTTTAGTTGCCACTGCTGGCTATACAGCTGCATGTTATATACCTGGGTGATACGCAGCTCCATGAACATGCATACCTCACCAGTTTACTGCGTGTTCAGAGATGTTCCCCTCCCAGGCCAGTATCTTAGGCGGCTGGAGGCCTTTGCCAAGTCTGTCAGAGTAGGGTCTCTGCTTAGTGCCTTATATGGCTCTGAACTAATTACAGTGTTGTGGTTGCTAGGCATTTACCCATTCATTTCTTGGCATCTGGTTCAGTGACATGACAATGACGTTCGGTAGACAGCTCCGGTTTTTCCTTATATGTCCTGGCAGCTAGAGGAGCCACTATATAAGACCGCCTTCATGCCGGCCTGCCATCCACTAAGTGAAAGCCACTGTTTGTTCTATATACCTGGTTTGACATGGCTTGGAATGCCTCCTCCACTACTATGTGTACCTTTAGCTGAACCCTCCGCATATGCTAAACCAGTGCTGTATGCACTGGCTCGGTGGAGTGGACCACAAGGGCTGTTGTTGTGGAAGTATGTAATGCCGGACAGGAAGCAGTGTGGTTGAATGAGCTGGACATCTCCCACACAATGTCCATAGCTTTGCCCTATTGTGGAGGTCTGTAGAGGTCCTGTCTTATTAAATGGTATATACATAGGTGCTCAAAATGCCATGTGTGCATAGCTAGTGACTTTGTTAGAGCAAGCAAAAGGGAGAAAAGATGAGGACAGAGGGAAGACTAAGACTGGGGGTAGAAAAATAGGATTGAGAAAGGGAGAATGGAGGGGTAGCAAGGGTACATGTGTTGTGTCCACGCATGAACAGGTTAACCCATAGTCTAAAGAGCTATACGTAGCTTATTACCACTGCACGTCTCTCTGTCTCCGTTGGCTGCAGCTTGACGACAAGCCCATCCAACATCGTGAGGTTATGGACCACGAATCGGACCTCTTCAAGGGCTACTTCAAGATCATCGAGATCATGGAGGGAGGGTCAGTCAGCCATTGCTGCTGCTACTGTTGTTGAAATGGTTTACCTGTGTTTTGATCCCCCTCAGTGCTGACACTGGGTTCCGGCACGTCAAGCCTACCGAGTACAAGCCCCGCCTCCTCCATTTCCATGGCGACAGGGTAAACAGTCTGTTGTCACACTCATTTCCATGCCGACAAGGTACACTGCACTGGACACCTAGAGTGGGTTTGGCACAGATCATAACCACCATGTACAGCTCTAAGCCTGGTGTAGTGGTGTGTGTGTATTATGTGCGTTCATGAGTCTCTTTGACATTGTTTACTCAGAAAAGAATAACGGTGAAAGAAGTGCCACTGAGCAAAAAGTCTCTTGATTCGAGCGACGTGTACATCCTCGACCTGGGCTGGAGATCTTCCAGTGGAACGGAAAGACCTGCAACAAGGACGAAAAGTTCAAGGCCGTCCAATACCTCCAGACTCTCAAGGTATGCGTCTCGCACTGCATTTATAATACTCGTGGACCGTTACACGGGGCCGCTCCATGCATTCTGTCCAGGTAGCAATGCGCATGCAAAACAGTAAGGGAGCAGTTGTAGAAGTGTAACGTTTAAAATTCTCCTTTGGGAAAGAACAGTTGAACGGATTGTTCTTAACAGGCACAGCTTTATGAATGTGGTAGTGTTGTATATATGCCTCGTGTGCTACATGACTGTACTGTTCATCCCTACAGTCTGAACGTGGCGGCAAGCCTAAAGTGGAGTCTCTGGGTACGTTTTTGACCTGCCGTGTGACAATCATGTGATCTTTCGTTTTTCCCACATGATTCACATTGTAGACGAGCGTGACATTAGTCCCAGCCACAAGTTCTACAATTCTCTTCCCGACGTGGATGTTGAGAAGGACGAGCAAGAGGTAGGTTTATTATATAGTATAGTGAGCTCAGTCGTTCTCTGCAATACAGCTGTGAGAGAGGCGCATATCATTATGTATCTGTTGTGCCCGCAGGATGACTCTGACTTCCAGCCCACCCTGCTCCGTGTGAGCGACGAGACTGGAAGCCTCGAGACGTCCATTGTGGCCGAGGGCAATCTCGCTCGTGGCAGTCTGGACCCGAAAGACGGTTAGTTATCCACGTGTGTCTCATCCACACGCTGACAGCAGTAACGTCCATCTTTATGATAACTGTTTATGTTTTGCACACACAGTGTTCATTGCTGATACTGGTAAGGAGGTGTTTGTGTGGATCGGGAGTGGAGCTTCGTCAGCCGAGAACCAGAACGCGTTGCCCTATGCCCATGTGAGCTATACACACAACAACATGCTATTAATGTTGGCCCACTCCCTGTCGCTCATTGACTCAACTGCTGTTGTGCCCCTGCAGAACTACCTAATGAAAACAAAGCACCCCCTGGTGCCCGTGACCTGCATCAAGGATGGTAGGGAGACGTCTGCTTTCAATGCCATCTTCCGCTAGGTGAGAACTCCATACACCCACCCACTCTTACTCACTCGCTCGCTCACTTGTTCCATCTTTCAGCAGTTTCTTCCAACCAGCTTGCATTTATCCCCTACATAGAAAACTTTTTGTGTGACTGCCTCTTTTTCCAGCTGTATTATGGAGCGTGCAATAAATTATGTTTCCTCTGTACCTGCAGAATGTTTTCTGATATTCAAGAAATCAAACTGACGAGTGAAAAAGACTTACATAAGAACCAATTTTTAGTGGTCTATCTCGTTCCTATATAACCTGTAGCAATTGATACACGGAAACTAGTGTTATGTAACTGCATATTAATGCAAATTCTTGTATATTATAGCTCTATTAGATTTTTTTGAAATGTTCAAGTGGATGATAATGTGAAGGAGGTTGAACAATGTAACGTGGAAAAAAACAGACAAAAGGAAAAATTTGCTGAACATGTTTAAAAATTAGAGTGAAGAGTTTAGATACTGAACAAAAAGAGTAGGAATAGCGGAGCTGTTCTCTGGTGGGTGGAGCTTCGTGTAATTAATGAACTGTCTCCTCAGCCGACGCAGCTCTACCATGGTAACGTGATGAGGTAGGCGGAGCTTGTTGCTGGAGGCGGGGACCACAGGAGACAAGGGTGATGTCTCCGGGAAGTGCAGTCCTCTGTGCCTGGAGCACGTGGGATACCACTTCTTGCGTCTTACGATCAAGATCATGGAGGAAGTCAGCCGATGAGAGGGGTTGTGACTGAGTGGAGAGGTTTGGGGGTGGCGGCTTTCGATGGAGGAGGGACGACAAGATGTCCTCTGCAGGTAGCGGGTCCTGAGGGTAGACCACAAACAGCGGGCTGTCCCAGCGATTTCGAGAGTCCGGTTTCTCATACCTCATGACCAAACTGTCGAACACATCGGGTGCGTATCGCTCCGTCTCGTCCTCCCGAGAGGAGTTCCAGGTTAGGGCAACGTCCGGCGAGACGTCGCAGTGGAGGATGCACTGTGGGGTCTTGACGTGTTTGGAGAGACAGTAGAGCTCGTAGCGGTAGCCCTTGATGTAGTTCAGTGAGTCCACAATCACTATCCTCTCTGGGGAGAAATGGTACAGTCAAACCCGTCACACCTAATGTTTTAAAGTGTTCATAGAGAGGTGTCCATATTATAGCTAAATAAATACAGCTTTTCTTGTACAAACCAGAATTCAAGCAGCGTTCTATAGTGGATTTAAGGGAGGATCGCATCATTTTCTCTTCCCTGGCGGACGAGTAGGCCTCGTTCTTGGACACTGAACCGCTGTACTCATCCCGTACCACCTGCACATGGCACGATCATGCACGTAATCAATGCCTGACAGCTTACACGTACGTACCTGGACCTCTCTGTCGCTGTGTTGAGACTGTATGTATTCTACCAGCTCCGCTACGCGCCGCGTCTTGCCAGAACACGGCAAACCGCTCACTACGACTAGCGGCATCTTTACGCTCTACTCCATATAGGGCCCACCCCGCGCTAGAAGTCACGTGAGCGCTTAAATTTTTACGCGCACGTACACATAATGCTGTTGTTTGTTGTGTAAACAAATAAAAAACAAAATAAATTATGTCAGTGTAATATTATCACGGCATCACTTAGTCATTCATGTCAGAAGTTATAGAAAAAGTGCTACGGTTTTTGAGTCTCCGGGCGGCAATCTCCATTGCTCTAGCTCTCTCCTCGGAAAAGTGAACATCGGCCATTGCTAAGTGTTCCAGCTGGAGGTCTCTCTTTGTGATTCTGAATTTCAGCATCTGTTTGGAGTAGTTAGGTGAGTGAGTAGTCTATGGAGCCAGACCGTCTCTCCCCATGCGTGCTTTTCAACACATGAATAATTATTATGCTTCAGTGCTTGCGGAAAAGATACACGGAGAAAGAGGGTCTAGCTAAAATATTATGAGGTCTGGTAGGTAAAAGAGGGAGCGTTGTAAGGGGAAGCAGGAAAGGAGAGAGACATGAAGAAAGAGGAGAGAGAGAGACTTACTGCGGGTATGAGCACATCCTCGTGGGTTATAGAAACAGACATGTCGCGTAGCCTTCTCGTTAGGTTGAAAAACCTGCCAAAAGAAAAACGCATAAAACGCGTACATCACACAAGCAGCAGGCTCAGACGCACTCTTTGCACTCGGCTCTGTCGGAAGGACTGTGGAACGCCAGCGAGAGCATTGCCAGGGCAGTCTTGTGTAGAACTTTCACCCCCTCAAAGAAAAATATGTCCCAAACTCTCAGGACCGATGGCCAAGGCAGAGTTCTAACAGCAGAGACATCAGAGAGAAAGATTTAGTCAAGAGTGGCTCTGTGTGCACTTGAACTACTGTATACTTACAAGTGATACTAATTTAATATAGCTGCCCCTAACAATTTTGTACGTGCCTCCAATTACATGTGCTTTGGACATGTTATGGCTTAAATTTTGCAGCTTTGCGGGTGTCGTTCAAAATTTTAAACTTCACCTGCTGAATATGCTCATGTACCACTCGGTGCAGTAGAGGACAGGGTCCAGCCCCTTCTTGTGGCTGCTCTCATCGGGATTTGGTGGTAGCTTTGACTGCAGGGGGAGGTCACCCAAAAACCAACTATATAGTTCAGTCTTATAATACTACAGTGGAACTGCTCAAGAACACTATGACATGAGGACATCTCTAAATACACCGTTTCTTTCCCCCAACAACCTTTGCATGCAATTCAACCCCTGACATAACTTGTGTCCTATTGGTGGAGGAGTTATAATTATACTGTATATTGTACCCTTGAACATTGCTTATACTTACATCCATGAAGCGGTCTATGACTGGGAGATATTTCCTCAGTAGATCCTTCAGTATGAGGGCGTCTATTTGGAATGCGTGCTGGAAGAAAACAAACAGATACTGTAGACCGTTTTTACTTGCAACATGCATGGTAAATTCACCAAGTCTCACTATACATATGTACCACTCATCGTGTTGTCTATGTTTTAGACTCACCAGCCCGGGGCTGTAGTAACCTGGTAGGTACTGCTCACAGATCTGTACCAGACACCAGAATGCCTCCTGTGGGGGGGGGACAAAGAGAGGGAGGAAAGGGAGGAGATGGGAGGAGAGAAAATAAGAGTATGAAAGAGAGGGACAGGGGGACCAACCTCAGCAGTCATGTGCATGAGGAGAGTGGCAGCAACTGGAGCCATGGCCTGGCAGTACCCAGTCTTTGGGTCATGAATGGCATAAGCCTTCAGCACTAGTCTCAGATCCCTCTGACTGCAGAGACAGAGAGAGCGGAATCAGGTTGTTCTAAAATCTTCTCCAACATGCTTACCCCTGTGACCCGTCCTTTGCAAAGAGGACGTGCGAGGGAAAGGTTCTGTCCAAGTCTTTGTCGATGACGTTCAGCACAATCTCCGTGTCTCGCTGACTAACAAGATGCTGGGAGAGGGAGAAAAACAGCTCCACATGCAAACAGTCCGCCTCAACCACTGCTACAGTCTCACGTCGAAAAGTCCTTTATTTTTCAACAGTAGGTCATGAGCTCCGCACAGGTACTGCCATGCTCTGCCACGCATGGACGACGGAATTCCCTTCCTGCACCTCTCCTTCAACTGAACGATAGATCAAACAACAACAGTACAGTTCTCACTTTCACTTAGTCACAACGCTTCACATAACACACACACTGCGCACTACACTAGAGTATTATACTATGCTGACTCTACAGTGGGTATATAACTGCATGCTAGAGGTGGTGTGTGTGTGTGGGAGACAGGGGGGTTTGAACGATAGGGGAAATGATCCGTGGATAATGAATAATTGCATAGCTGTGCATACCTTGTGTTTCTTAGGTCCCATCCACACATCCCACTTTGCAAACATGTCCAGCCACTTTTGCTCTCTAATGCGACTCGTCTCGACAGCAACTTTGGGTGTACTGTAAGAGGGTGAGAAATGAGAGAGAGGGTGTGTGCATGTGTGTGTGTGATGGTATAAAGACCAACACTCAGTACACCGTAAAGGCCCATCAGCTGCCAAAAGCGGGAAAATAGATCTATTATGTTAACTTGTCCACCCAACACACTGCCCATATTTCACGTCCCACTGACAGAACATTACCTGTTGCTCAAATTCCCACTGGTTTAACTAAACTAACTGCCCACCCACAGAGACAGAGAGTGTACATTTTGTATGAATATCTGAAGCTTACACATGTCTAGCTGATACGTAGTGTTCAGTATTCCTGTTGCGACATGCACTATCGCATGCACAGAATTTACTCCAGTCTTTCGTTTCTCTCTTCCTTTTACTCTGTACCTTCCTCTACCCCCTCCCTCCCACTCCTCCCCCTCCCCCTTCTCTCTTCCCGCGCCTTCTCTACTAACATTGACACATTTCGCTCCCAAACAACGACTCGTTCTCAGGTAAACAGCCCAACGTAAAAAAAGGGAAGCCGGAGACATTTGAAAAACAGTGTCATTCAGTACCTTTCAGCATCGGATGTGATGTCTAAGACAACACTAGTGTTGGGGCTCGGCAGAGCTAGTGCCAAGCCAGCTAGCTGGACGTGTAAAACAACCCCCCAACAACACCACAACACGCACTGTCACACGCTCAGCTACATACAGAGAGGTGAAACGATGAGCTCCAGAGTTCACAATTTTACTATGTATGAGTTCCTGAGAGTGTCATCATTTCTTAGTGTCCAGGCCACACACTAGACAATAGGACATCCACACTTTTCTTTAACCCCAGGGATATATACCTAAGCCTCTCTTTATCACAAACACACTCACACTGCTGACTCACTAGTGTTTGTCAGCTTCGCTGATGGAGTAAAGAAACCCATAGTGATCTTCTTCCTTTACTCTCCTCCTCCCCCTCTCTCCATTCTCGCTCGGAATGTCGCTGAATGTTGAGAGCCCCGCCCCGTCCCTTGGTGAGGCCGACACATCATTTTGAGCTGCTTCTGCACCTCTCACCACCTCTTGACCTCCGTTTCCCTCCTCCTTCCTCTTCCCTTTCCCCTTCCCCTTCCCCTTCTCCTTGTCTTTTCTCCTGTCCTTCCCCACACCTTCTCCTAATTGGAGCCCTCCAGCACCCCTCTCTGCAGACAGTCTCTGCTCTAGGGCCACGTCTGGGTCGATGGGACGAGCTTCCCGGAGTATTATGGACTGCCTCCCCCAATGTCCAACATCCATTTCTTGATATGGTGGCAGGGAGTCGGGTAGACTCGACTATTGCTGGTTTCTCTAGGTCTCTCCCCGTGCTCTGTTCGCGACTGTGTCTCGCTCCTCTCTTCAGCTGCTGTCCGCCGAGCTGGTGTACGCGGGAGACGGAGGCGGGGTGATGACGGTATATACGGCGGTCAAGTTGGTTGATCTAGTTGGAGGCGTGCAATCGTCAAGAGCCTCCTGGGCTATTCTTCTTCCTTTCACCTCCACTCTCGCAGCGCCACGCTCTTGGGGCATGCATGCAAAAAAAAACGGGAGACGTTCTTTCCGATCCTGACGCACTGATCAGCGAAAGGGAGTGGCCGGCTGGTGTGTCGCTATTATCACATTACATCATCCATAAAGCCCGCGCACGCGCACGTACGCCACGTTGGAGAGAAAAGGTCGCCCCGCGGCCCCGGCCCCCCCGCCCCCCCCTGCAGGCAGGGCTCAGTAGACAGTTGGTGCGTTGTTTTTCATATCCATGGAGGAAGGACCTAGTGCAAAGAAGGCAAAGCTGACATCACCAGACCACGGCTGTCAGGATTTCTCCCACCTCCTCCCCCCTCACTACCGACAGCAGGTCCGCTCGTGGCTCCAAGAGGACATTCCCAGCTTCGACTACGGGGGGTTCGTGGTGGGAAACGGCCGCAGAGAAGCCGTGCTACTCTGCAAATCTCCAGGCGTACTCTGCGGGGTCCCGTTCTTTACGGCCGTCTTTGAGGAGCTGGGTTGCGGTGTGGAGTGGCTCCACACTGAAGGCAGCGTGCTCCAGCCTGTATGCGAGGCGGCAAGGGTATCTGGACCCGTAAACAAACTCCTTCAAGGCGAGCGCACTGCTCTCAACCTTCTAACGCGGGCAAGTGGGATAGCCACCCACGCTCGGGACTTGGCGAAGGAGGTTGAGAGAATTGGTTGGCTGGGTGAGGTGGCTGGGACACGCAAGACCACTCCTGGATTTAGACTCGTGGAGAAATACTCCCTGATGGTGGGTGGGGTTTCGACTCATCGCCACGATCTATCCCAGATGGTAATGCTCAAAGACAACCACATCTGGTCTGCAGGCAGCGTGTGTCTCGCAGTCGGCAAAGCCAGAAAGGTTGCCGGGTTCAGTATCAAGATCGAAGTCGAGTGTCGCTCCATTGCAGAGGCCAAGGAGGCTGCCGAAGCAGGTGCAGAGATCGTGATGCTGGACAATTTCGAGCCCGCTGCTCTGGCTGTGGCGGCAAAGAGCCTCAAACGTGATTTCCCTCACCTAACTATCGAGGCAAGTGGAGGCATCCGCCGTGAAACTCTCGCTCAGTTTTGCCTGCCAGAGGTGGACGTGGTGTCTCTCAGTACCACAACTCAGGGCTATTCAACTGTCAATTTCTCTCTCAAACTGTGCGTTGAGGGCCACGATCCTCACAACCCAAAGGTGACCCTGAGCAATGTCTAGAGCAAATACTTAAATACTGACCGTGTACATAATGATATTGTACAGAAACTACCCTACAACTGAAAATGTGCTGTACAAAAGGTTTTGTGGTCATAAACTAGTCAGTCTTGTACTGTGGGTTGCGCTCGAGGAAGAGCTTTCTCTTCCAGGCCGGCATGGCGGCGATTTCGGCTTGCTTGGCGTCCCAGTCTTCCTGCTGCTGCTGCTTGATGGTGTCGGATGCTGCCTGCTCCTGTCGTCGCTTCTTCATAATGTTTTTCTTCCACCCGGGCATGCTCTGCAGAAAACAACTTACTGACTTGATTGAGAGAATGGCTGTAAATTATACTGCAGTTCATTTATGCATAATTCGTCAATTCCCTCTACCTATTTTTTTACTTATGCCTTTCTGCTCAGTCGTATTCTTACAGGACATCATGGTTTTAGTGTGAGGCTGGGAAATGCTAATGTCCATACTCAACTATAGTTAAGCTTCTACATTCATTTTCTGCTCCATTTAGTTTAACTTGTTCCATGCTGAGTCTACGACTAATCTTGCAAACCTGGTATATCTCTTCCTCTTCTTCCTGCCTCTGTCTCTCTTGCTCCATCTCCTCCTCCATCTTGTTCGTCCTCTTCTTCATCAGTGCCTTCTTCCACAGAGGAACTTCCGTTTCGTCTGGGTCTACGTCTGGAAGGACTCCCTGTAGGGAAGAAAGGAAGGTTCAGGTTCCTTAGGAACAATGCACTGCACCGCGTATTAATAACCCTTTTGCACCATAGAGCCCAGGCGTTTTTTGTATGCAAAATTTTGTGCGTGCGTGTGTTTGCACTTTAACTTACTTGGTATTTTTCAACTTTCGGGATCATCTTTTCCTCTCTTGCTGGTAGAGTTGCAGGCTCTTCTTTACGCTTGGCTGGCTTGGTAGTTTTCTCTTGCTTGCGATCCAGAATGGCCTGTTTCCAAGCCGGTATGGAACTGGTTTTCACATCTTTCCTCACTTCATCGGACGACATTTTCCGTTTTGGTTGGGGGCTGGGCGAGCGAGACGAGAGAGATTCATCTGAATGTCTGCGGTGCCTGTGCTTTTTCTTCTCGTAGTGTTTGTCTCTTTCATCTGAGTCGTGTTCTCTTCCCCTTTCCCTTCTGTGATGCCCTCCCCTCTCTTCTCCCCTGTCCCTCTCGTGTCTCCTGTGCCTCTGGTCCCGATGCTCTCTCCTCTTCCCTCTTCTGTCTCGATCCTTTGACCGCCGTCTTTCGTGATCCCTCGATCGATGTCTTTCTCTAGGTCTGTGACCTCCAGAGCTGTCGTCAGAGTACCCCTCATCCTCTCCCTCCTCTTCTCTCTCCCGTCTTTTTTCTTCTCTCGTCTTTTCTTCCTCTCTAGCTCTGAGCTTTTGTTCTTGGACCTTCATCTTTTCCAGCTTGTCCTTCACCACCATTTCAACAGTGATCACTTTCTTGCTTTTCGCTTGTCTGGCATGGGCGTTTACCTCATTGCTTGACACTTTTCTAAGTTTCTTTCCAGCCTTGAGCTCAGCTAGCAAGTTGTCAGTGACAGCACCTGGGCCATCATCAGTCGCCTCAGTTCCGTTAGTTTGGGCATTAGGAGCAGTCTCCACTTTTCTTAGCTGCTTTCCCTTGCGGATTTGGTCCAGTATGGTGTCTCTTTGGGAATGGACATCACTGTTTGGAGCAGGTGGGGGTGGGGGTGGTGGGACATTGGTACCTGGTGGAGGTGGGGCAAAACTGCTGGTTGGCAGAAGAGGGGGAGGGGGTGGTGGACCAAAAGTTGGTGGAGGAGGGAGTGGGGGTGCTGGACTACCATTGTTAGTCGCATCAGTTGGTGGGGGAGGAGGTGGGGGTGGCGGAGGATCACTAGTGGTAGCTGGTGGAGGCGACAGTGGACTTGTGGTTGGGGAAGATGGAACTGTATCATCTGGTGTGCTGGTAACAGGTGGCTGATCTTCAGTTTCACCATTCTCTTCATCTTCACTGTCCAGATGGGTGACAGTTGGCTCCTTGGAATCAACTTCGTCTATTCCTGATACCAATTCAGGCCGTCCAGTTGTAGGATTGGATGGTCGCTGGTCGGGAAGTACTACGACAGTACCATTAGTAGGTGTCTGGGAGGGTACAGCTGTGATGGGTGTCACTGGTGAAGTAGTGATGGTGTGAGCTTGTGAAGATGTGACTATGTGAGCAGGGGGAGCCTGTGAAGCTCTGGTTAGAGGGACAGTTCCCTGTGAGATGGAAGAAACAGGTACGACCTGCTGAATTGGCTGGGAAACTTGAACGTCCCCGGCAGCTGTTGATGTGGTGGACACCATCACAAACTGCTGCTGCTGCGGTTGCGACTCGGCCACCTGCAGTTGTGGCTGTTGCTCTGCAGTAAGTGCATACACATTCCCCGCAGCGTCCTGGACAAGCTGAACAACCTGCTCTTGCGGCTGAGTCTGCTGGTACTGTAGCTGGGCGAGGGCCTCCTGAGCCTGATGTTGAGGCTGGTAGTGCAGATGCATTAGGCCATGTTGACCTTGCAGTTGGGGCTGCTGGTACTGCTGCTGGTGGTACACGAGGGCCTCCTGAGCTTGGTACTGCTGTTGACCTTGCACTGGAGTCTGCACGAGCGTAGGCTGGGACTGTGGAACAGCTTGTGGATGGAACGAAGTATCTTGCCCAGTCAATGCAGGTTGAGCTACTGCTTGCATTGACTGAGCTGTTGGACTCAGAAGCTGTTCTTGTGTAGTCTGCTCACTCAGAAACTGGGAGAGGGCATCCGCTACCGTCTCCTCCTTGAAGAGTCTCTCGCCGGCATCCAAGATGCCTTGCAAATCATTCATTTCATTGTCCTTGCGTTTCCGTTCCTTCTCCTTCTTGTGGAGCTCACGTCGTGATCGATGTCTGTGGTGACGGGAAGGACTGTCCTCATCTGAATCCGAACTTGTATCTCTACGATGCTTGTCCCTCCGTCCACGCCTGTGTTCTGTGTCAGACTCATCAACACTACTCTTTTTCCTCGAGCGATGCTTCTCTGGTCTGTCTTCCTCTCTCTCTGTGTGTTTCTCTTTCCTTTTGTCTCTCCTCTCCTCTTCTGAATCTTTTCTCCTTTTTTTACCGTCTTTGGCTTTTCTTCTAGCCTGTCTTTCTTCTGGGTCATTTCTCCTGCCTTCACTTCTCTTACTTCCGCTGTCTTTGGCCTTTCTGCCTCTGCCCCTTTCTTCAGAATCGCTTCTCCTCTCGTCCTTCTCACGTTTTTCATGATGTCTGCCTTGCTGAGGCGACTTCTCTCTTGCACTGGCCTTGTCCCTACCTTTCTTTCCAGGAGTGGGTGGTGGGGATGCTTTTTCTTCATCACCATCTTCTCTTTCTTCTATGATCCCTTGCCCTCCTTCGAATGCAGCTATCTTGCTGAGCAGCCCCCCACGTTTTGGGCGTTCGCTCTCTTCAGCCCTCCCTTCTTCCCCAGTTGTCTTCCCAGTTAGGAAACCAGCAAGTTTTTTTACATTCCCCTCCTCTAACACTGCTGCCACCATCTTCAGTTTCATTTTGTTCATTTCCGAGTTTTCCCGACTCTGAAGCATTGATGAGGTTACGTACCGACCTCCCTTGTGCGGGTAGGTCCGGCATCCCCGCTGTCAGCTTTGGCGGTTTCTCGAACATCTTCAGCCGATTGCTAATGTCGCCCCCTTTCACTGACCCTCTTCGACCTCCGCCACCTTTGCTCCCTCCTCCCTCACTCCCCAAACCACCACTTCTTCCTTGTCCTCCCGAAATGCTCAGCTTTCGTCCACCCCCACCACCACTAGCAGGTGGCAGTTGTGAAGATGGCGGCACAGCAACAGAAGACATCCGGCGACCTAACAAACGAAGACCATTCTTACAGACCTACAATACATCGTGATATCGTACCTCCTTCCATTGGATGTGCAGGAGCCTCTGGTTCGACATACTTTCCATCCAACACTTCTTGAAAAGTTTGCTGGTCTTCTCTGTCCACGAGAAGCTTTGCACCCTCTCGCAGGTGTTTCCTAACATTATGTCATACCGTGGGTAACAGGAATGAGAGAATGGACCCTGGATTGGCTTACTAATGCAGGCTGTGTGTGTCTCGTTGGTATGCAAGTGTGTGTGGTGTCTGTGTGTATGTGCGTGTGTGTATGTGTGTGTGACTGCACATGAGTGTAATGATGTGGCTCACTTTTTTCCACGGAAGAGGAGTTTGGTTTTCTTACAGAAGGCGACGACGTCGATCTGGCATCGTTGATAGTTGAGCCAGTCGAGACGAAACTGCCGGAACTCAATCAGACCACACGCCTTTGACACCTCAAACATGTAGGCCTTTTGGATCGGGTCCTGCACCACGTCATCCACTCTTACTAGTACTGTGGGTTGAGAGGTATATACTAGAGTGTGTGAGAGAGAAAGAGAAAGTGTTCACTTGGCCATGGTTTTCTCTGTCGTTGCGGTTTCACCACTTCTTCCTTTACGCTCCATACGGCAGACTCCTTTTCTCCAACACTATGAGAGAGATGGTTTATGAGACTATTCTTCCGTCAACATTCAAAAACACACCTCTTCCTCCGTGTGTTCCCGGCTTGATGTCTGTCCTGATTTGGTCTTTTTGCTGGAGTGGGTGAACCGCCGATTACCGTCTCTTTTTCACTCATCGATGTCTTTAGAAGTGTGGCCCCCTCACCATTGCCATCAATCCTTTAGGTTATAAATCAAAAACACACCCACACCTCTTTGTTTTTCCTCACCTGGTCTCGACTTCTCCCTCCTCCATTGTCTCTAGCAGCATACTCGCATGCGACTTGCGCTTCATACTGTCACCACTACTTGGAGATACCTCTCCTGTCCCTTGCTCATTCTCTGTCTTGCTCTCTGGTGTGGCTGGAGCTGTGGGGGGTGGTGTCAGTGGAGGCAGCGGAGGTGGAGGCAATGATGTCATTGGAGGTCGTGGAGGAGGAGAGGGAATATTTGGTGGAGAGGAGGAGGATAGGGAAAGGAAGAAGGGGGAGTTTTTGTTGGAGGTGAAGTAGATGAGGGAATGTTCTGCAGAGCTGCAGTGCCAGCAGGAGACACAAGGAGAGGGTCCAGGGCTTGTTCAGAGCCCGAGGCCGAAGGTGGGAAGCTGTCGGGGCCCAGAGTGAGTCTGGTGCGACTGTGGCTCGAGAGGTAGTCCAAGACGTCTGGTACTCGAACACCGTCCGTGTTCTCCAGTTTCTGTGTGACCACGTTGCCATCGTGTTTGGCCACGTTACCATTGTGTTTGGCCGGAACGCTGCTCGCCGCCAGTGGAGGAAGGAGCTCCAGTGTTGAACCGTCCAGAGACTCCATCGATTGGTCCAACAGATTCCGAGCCCGCTTCGATAGTGACCCACCTTCAGTTGTGCTCAGTCGTTTCGGTTTCTGTCTTCGCTGTTTCCCCCCCGGTTTTCTGCCGGCTTTAGCGCTGGGTGTCTTTGTGACTGCCATAAACTGCTTTCCGATTTCCTCCGCGATACCATCGCCTCCCTTCAGGTGAGAGCCTTGTGACGTGACCTGAACTGTCCAATGGAATCAGAACAAAGTCTTTATCAGCTCTCTCTTCAACCGTGCTCCTCGTCTTCTCTCTCTTCGCCTTCCTCCCTCCCTGACTCTCCCCTTTCTTCCCCTTCGTCTTCTTATCCCCTCTCTTCCTCTTGCTCTCCTTCTTCTCCGTTGTGGTGGCTTGCTCTGCTGCAGCTTTCGAGAGCCTTCGCAGCATCTTTGTCTTGACGGGGGCCTGGCTGTGCGCTGCAGCCTGTTCTTCCTGCCTCTGTCTCTCTTCCTCCCTTGCCACCAGGTGCAGGAACTGCTCATTCATTGAGGAGCACACGTCTCGAACCACACTCTGCAATTAGTCCATATTGTACATTGCTGTATATAGTGGTTTTCTTCAAGGACCTTTTCAATATTAAAGTGAAATGGATCTATCTGCTTATGTTCTATTTGGAGGTCATAGAGTCCACTGCAGATCTACCGCCGTTAACTTACCTCACTCTCACACTCCAGTACGTGGCACTCGATTCCGTCTCCCTCGCCCCATTCCTCCTCTGAGGGAGGCAGGAGAGCGAGCCACTTTGACTCCCAATATATGTCGACCATCATCCTCTGCATAGGCCAGACTGCCTACTGAGGCCACCAGAACCTCTGCATACATCACCTGAGGGAGTGTGTAAGAGAGGAATATAATAAGAAGAAAAGCACAAGAAAGAGAGAGCAATAGAGGAAGTTGCTAGTCTTGTCAAAAGAAAGAAGGTTGGAGCGTAAAAGTAAGGGATTTCAAACGTTTTTTTCCAACCTTTTTGTCATCAGTGATAACCATCCATCTCTGATTGACATGGATCATCTTTGGAGTCAGAGAATGCCACATCAGGTACCCTTGCATCTATAAAACGAGAATGTAAAGCTATACTCAACTCTACTATGTGCAGGGGTAGTTAGCAGACGTACGTACCTGTCCCTCGTCCACCATCCGCATGAACTCTGAGCGCGAGGCAGGACTCTGCCAGTCCCGCACACGAGGGATGCAACCCAAATACTGCAAGCGGGAGTAACGTGTGTGCCCGTGAGTGGAGAAACTGTTGAGTGGGGAAAGTCTTACCCTAACGTCCCAGCGGCGAGAGCCCTGCACATGTCTCGGATTCACTCTCCCGATCGCTGGACCAACGGAAGAAGAAGATCGTTGAAGAGAGCCCCACCCACTTTTGCACAAACAAGTATATACGTATCCACACTGCAGCTAGCTAAAACTCCCTACTTCAACTGTGTACTTGTGGTAGGGAGGAAAACTCACGTCTGTAAGTCTCCGCACTGCTGATGGAGTAGTCGGGCTGCTGCTTGACTCGCACGCTGCTCCGGTGTCCGCGTCCGAACTGCGTCGTTGTACGTTAGCTAATTCGGACCAATTATCGTGAAAGCAGTATTCTTACCAGACGCAGGAGTTTATTCCCACCCTTTGCTACTTTCCTCCCGTCCTGAGGCCGCCTTCCCATTTTCCCAACCGTTCTGCTTCTGGGAGGCAATCGCAAACTTAACCAGCCCCACCCAATTTTGAGACATTACGTCATCTTCAACCACAAACAACAACAAAAATAACGAGACACATGATAAAAATCGGCACAATTCACCGCTAGCTGTTACTAATGGTACTGAGACATTTTACCATACTCATTCTCCGAGTGACTGGAGTCAAATTCAAGAACTTTATCAGCCTCTCGACAGTGGCGTCCTGGTATTCGTGGCTCCAGTTCACGGCATTCAACCGACATAGAGTCCTCAGGTCAGCCGGTAACAGCTTCTCCTGTGGCCAGGAAAAGTTTGGGTCGCAGAGCGGCACGACTGTCGTATTATTCTCCAGAGCGCAGACCAGTTCTCGGTGCAGCCAGTCCTCGATCCTTTTGTCCCCAATACAGCGCTGGAGACTGTTGGAAGTCAGCACCACCACCACATTCAGACACTGTCTAATGACTGTCAGGAGCGCCTCGTCGAACTTCCCTCCCCCCAGAGAGGTGACATCGAGAAATGTGGAGAGACCGCGGACTTCGAGATACACTTTGAGGAGGCTGGCCAGTTGTGATCCACCCTCACGCCGGTAGCTGATGAAGACGTCGTACTTTTTCCGATATCGGGAAGTGAGTGGAAGAATTGAACCAGGAGAACCGGAATCGGTCGATTCGACGGAGCCACAGGTCTCTCTGATGTGGTTCAGGATGCGGGCCTGATCGATGGACGATTGCACGCCGAGCTCCGTCAGCATCTCCTGGTTGAGGTGAGGCAGGAAAGAAGTGGTGATCCGTCGGCGGGCAAAGTCCACCCGGTACACCGTCAGGTCCTTGTGGATGTCGATCAGAAACTTGGAGACGTTCTCTGGGTCCAGGAACGAGACGTCGGCACGGCGGCGGAGTTTCAAGACCTGCTGCATGACCCAGCGACCCTGAACCTTGCTCTGGAGTCCCATCTCCAGAATATCCTCCACACTCAGGTCCAGCAGTATACTGCCTGTGGAGGACACACACAACAACAGCCCCTTTTCAAAGGAGAAAGCATTTGTGATTCGGCAGCAAATAGATCATCTGAACATCTGAAACAATAATATAGTGTAATACTCTAGTGTGGGACTCTTGTGTAGTATGCACAAAATGTGGATAAAGGTTTCAATGACAGCTCTCAATTGTTGAAAAGTTATGGTGATTCATTGTTCAGTCACATAATTATACTACTTATGATCCAAATGCAAACTGCTGAGCTGGCTTACCAGTGACCATATGAGTAACAAATTGAGGGGCCAGCTGAGTTAGACCCATATCTTCGGCCCACAATCTCACCTGTGTGAAGTCGAGTGGAAAGACGATTCTAGTCAACACACATTACCAGTGAATTGACTGATGTAAAGAAATGCTGGCAATGTAGCAGGAATGTTTCCTCCACCCCTCCCTGTGATTCCTTACCTGGTCGGGCTCCCACTTGAGAACAGTTCCACGACTGGTAGGTCGGTAGAGGAGCGCACACCGTCCGCAGAGCCTGGCAGCAGTTGAGAGCCGTCAACTTGGAGCCTTTCTTTGCCGCCACCTGCAGGTGCCCCACCACATCTATCTCACTGAACACCTGCAGACGACAATGTTATACAAGTGTAAAAATCTAATGAGTCAAAGCACAAAAGAACAATCCCATTTTCTTTAATTTGCGAAGTTTTAATCGTAGCTCCCACGAAGCAAATGCTCAACAAACAGAACCCCACTGTGGTAATGTATGGACAGAACCCACTGTGGTAATGTATGGACCTAGTACGTTTGATAAAATTGTGTGTGAAGATTGTCTGCTACGTACATTTATCTTGTTCTGCTTCTTCTTGATAGTTGACTCCATGGCAAAGTGAAAGGCAGCAATGGAGCGTGCCTCTTCGCAGTCTGACACCAGTAGAGGCTTCAGTCGCATCAGCCAACCGGCCGAGCGCCCGTGGGAGTGACTCGGACAGCTAGCTGCAAACTTGTCCGGATTGTGCGAACGAAGGAACGGGAGAACGAGATCCAGAGTACCGCTCTCCATCACGGCATCGACAATCCTCTCGTTGGTTGCCAGGTACGACACCCCCAGGAGAGCATAGTACTTTACTACGTTGTCCTCTGAGAAGGCGAGCGGGAACAACCAATGCTCGACTTTGCAACGAATCATCAACTCGTGGCAGTCAGGGGAGCCGTACATGGCACAGTTGGTGAGTGCTGCGGCACAATGTTGGAGAATGACAGGGTCAGTCGAGCAACATCCCTGAATGACTCCGTTTAGGCCGCCGTCTCTAATGAGACAGTGACACGTCCCAGCCGATTCCTTAAAGAGGTTTTCGAGGACCCCGATTCCGTACTGCATCAGATCGGGGACGTCCTGTCTGCTGACGGTGGACACTATCTCTTGGAAGAGAGTGTGGCCACTGATGTAGGCACGGTTGCTCGAGACCATGATCTGTTCTAGAGCACGGGTGAGGAGAACGAGGAGCTCCTTGCTCTTTGTGTGACACAGGACCTTCAAGAGATCTCCTATTCCCCCATTTAGCCTGTGGAGAGCAAAGAACATCTATTATTTTTTGTCCCTGCACACTAAATGCACTCTGCGGTTAGAATGCCTTACTCCCGCACCGCACAGACTAAAGTGTATGTACTTACGCACAGCCTAGCCAAGGCCAAACTGGGCTAAGTGGTGGTTAAGGATCTTATTATGCGTTACCTGATCTCGTCGCAGGCAATGTCGGCGGCTCTCCGGGCCACCTCTCCCGCCTCCAGTCCCCAAATCTCCATCATAATGTCGTAGAGTCGCTCCGCACCATCCGCCTGCTTCGCTTCGTCGCCCTCCGCCGACAGATTCTCTGCGCAGAGACCGATCTCGGTCTTCAGCTCGCTAACCAGCAGCTCTCCGTCTTTAAGCCACACCGGCGAGACAGTAGATGAACACCCGGACATTACGCCGCAATAGTGGAGAAGAAGACAGCCTAGAGCTGGCGCGCTGCGCATAATAATTATGCTGAGCTGCGCGGAATTTCAGCCCCGCCCTAATCTGTGACGTAAGCGGTCAGGTGTACATTAAAAGGAATTGACTCGGTCTCCAGTTGCCGAACGAGTGTGGAGTGGGTAAACAAGAAGATGAGTGCGAAGTGGGAGAGAAGACGGTCCAGTAAGACGGCGCCCACATCTCTGGAGGTGAGGGAGCGCTGGCCGCTCCACTGGCTGGTATGGGAGGGAAGAGACGCGGAGCTAGAGGCGGCTCTGAGAGACGAAGAGGTAGGTGCAGTTTCTGCGCGATGAGTGGTGAGCTATAGAAAGGTTTTGCAGTGCGAGGGGGAGCAGGTGGACCCGAGAGGACGGACCCCGCTGCACCTGGCAGTGTTACTGGGGAAGGTTCGGTGTGCTGATGTCCTCCTCCGAAACGGAGCCAACACCCCTCGCCTTCAACAGACACAACTGGACTGGTGACCCCTCTCCCCTCTTTCCTCACCTCGCCTTTCCTTCTCATTTTCTCATATGCACACTTTCTCTGTCTCTTGCACAGACACAGGGTTCTTTCTTTCCTCTTTTGTCCCATTCTCCCCCTCTTGTGTTATTTTAAACCCTCTTCCACGCCCTCTTTTTTCTTTCTCTTGTGCCCCCATCTCTCTTTCTCTCATCTCCCTCTGTACTCCACCTCTCCCTCACCAACAGTGTTACAGGAGTGCGTGGCGCAGGCCAGCCCGGAGCTGATAGGGATGGTCCTCCGCTACAGGGACCAACAGCAGTCAAAACTCAGGTCTCAAGAGATACCTCTCATGTTGGACAGACTCCAGACGACTCCAGACTACTACATCGAGATGAGATGGGAGGTCAGCTCATGGGGTGAGTGTGTGTAGGTCTCCAGTGATGTATATGCAGTACGAAGGACTTGAAGGCCCTTTGTAAGCAGGTTACTCAACTATTAGCACCGCATTCAAACAAGTGTCCTTTTAGAGAGGTGTCTTCGACGATACAAGCACTGAATCAAACCTGATGCGTCCTTTGTGCAGAGATCGCTAAACTATTAGCTTTGAATCAAAAAGCAGAGTGTCCGTTATAAATTTTTTCACTGCATGTTGCCAGATTTATGGCTGAATGTTTCACATCTCTGCAGTTCCTTTCTTGTCTCGCATGTGTCCCAGCGACACCTACAAGATTTGGAAGAAAGGTGAGTGAAATATGGGCAAAGGAGGACCCTGGTGTGTTAATGTTGCACAACATGGCAAGGTTTTCTATCACTCTCCTTAGAAATCCTTACATTCTCTCTCTGCAGGCACCACAGTTCGAGTGGACACAACTCTCGTTGGCTTCCAACAGCTGACCTGGCAGAGGGGGAACCTCTCCTTCATATTCAGAGCCACTGGTGTGACATGTCTATGATAAATATCTCCTCTACGCATACCATGTGTGCGCATATTCATATTTTGTGAGCCGTTTCGTTAAATAGGCACAACCTTGTCGTGTGGGAGATGCAACTTCGATAATACAGCAAGGTTGCTTGAAATAAAGAAAGCATTTCTTACTGCGTGCAGCCATGTTCCATAGACACCGATACATTGAAGCTTGCATGAAACCTTTTGGCCCTGTGCAACAGCTTTACGCCGTGTATGTGTGTGTGTTGTGTTGTACGTGGGGACTCAACCGAACGAACGCAATATGAAACACTGTATTATGTGGTGTAGTTTGCCGAGATGCTTTTAGTTCCTAGAGCATGCTGCACACTCAGTATGTTACTGCATGAGTGTGCAGCATGCTCTGTGTTACTAATAGGGAAATTGATATTATCTATCAATTTCCATATTAGTTTCGTGCAAGTTACGGAACCATACCCGTGCCAATTACGTTAGATCATGTGCATTTCAAACCGAATTGCTACTGGTGAAATCTTGAATTTGATATGTTCTTATATGTCGTGCTACTACGTGATTCTGTACGTGGTGCAATGATGTGTTGTCCCTTCCCCCGGTGGCTGTATGGGTATATGATGTACCATGTCTGCAGCAAATGGAACCGTCATATCGGAAGTGAACCATGACACGCACACAGTGGTGGAGCAAGAACTGAAGATTGTCGAGTAGGTCTTACTCAACCCATTCCTCTCCTCTCTCTCTTCTTTTCTGCTAAACAACCGCACAGGGTTCTACTAGTCAAGAATGCTAAAAATTCGCGGAATGTATATACCGTGCAGCTACTCCCTAATTTTGAACGCACTTGCACACCAACTTATATCACTCCCCCCCACTCCTTATGAATGCTCCCCCCAGACGAGATCCAGTAGAGACGATGATGTCACAGGAAGTGGGCGTGGTCCAGAGACTCTCATCTCCCATTGTCTCCACCTCAGTTGACACCAGTTCCGTCAGTTTTCAGAGGTACACACATACTGTACATCCCTCTGTCTTTGGCCTATATATTATTATAGTGGGCAAAATTTTGGGGTGTTAAATTTTGTGGTCAATAAAAAATAAAATTCCGCTATCAGTTGCCCATGTCCTACATACTTTGCTGGCAGGCAGAAGAGTGGGTTTTGGGGGTTCAGATCTGACAAAGTGGAGACTATACATGGATATGAGTCAAAGGTGTTCTCAGCTACTGGTCTGGACATTGTGTCTCGAACGAGAGTGGAACACTTGCCGGAGACCGAGAAGAGCAAACACAAGGCTGTCAAGTAATCCATCGCTACCTACCCCACCCCCTGCCCCTCTCCTCTTCTCCTTCTCTCTCTACCCCTTTCTCTCTTTCTTTCCTTCCCTTAACCTCTTCCCCTCTCCTTTTCCTGGAAATATGGCTGTTTCCCCATGTAAATATCATGAAAGATGCTGAAACAACCAATTATTACTCTTAGTTTTCCTCACACATTTACAATTTGTTCTACTATTACTTACCGAATTGATTGTTTCACGGGAGGCAAATGTTGCACAACCAATTTCTGGTTCCATTTGTAGTCCACTGCAGGATTTCTTAGGAGCCGCCCAGGATCACATCAACACCTCCGCCCAGGCCGCCGTCGCACAGCCGCCACCCAGCAACCAGACTCCTCCCCCTAGCAACCAGGCCACACCCTCTCTCTCGATGGAGGAGTACTTTCAGTCTCCTAGGAACCCCAAGGACTACGACCGTTAGTCGCCAGCTAGATGCATGGTGCAAAAACACATACAAAGTTGAAGGGTTAAAAATCTTTTCTAGTGATTGAGAATTTGCTCAAAGAAGGGGCGGATTACTGGCCTTTGTGAAGTGATTAATTTCCATGCGTCTGATATACGTAGGGTCTTACTCGTTGTATGTGGCAACATTTGCTAGCTCAGATAGCCCAATGGTGTTCGGTATGTATGTTAAAATCCTCAACATGTAGCCTTTGGCCATAGGATGTTGTACATGAATAGCATACTAGCCACAGAGAATAGAAAACCAGAAGTCATCCTCCACCCCCCATCCTCCACCCCCCATCCTCCACCCAAGTACATACACAGACACAAACAACACAGTTGCACACAACAAGGTAGGACACCAGGTGCCCCAGCCACATGTGCACGTACATTGCTCAACATACATTGCTCAATGAGCAGTTCACTTACAGCAATAATGTAGGCCACTTCTTATGCCGTTTATGGGGAATTATTAACACAAATTGACTTGGCCTGCAAAAATAAGTGGGTCCCTGAACTTCTTACTGCAGGTGTATTGCCAATTACGTCGTTGTAATCAGCTATAGGTAGGCCGGCAGAGGTGGCCTCTCGAGTCCAGCGACTGAAGGCGACTGTCTGGCTGGCCGAAGACTTTCCTCTCTCTCTCCAGGAGCAGATCATGCCCATCATTGACCTCATGGTACAATACCACTAAGTACGGTAGTACTTAGTATATAAGGATGGGCATGGTATATACCTAGCATCATAGATGGGGCTATGATGGGGAGGCTAATGCAGTAAAAATAGGGCGTAAATTTGTCTTTGGACAAGCATGCGACAATCCACAGTTCCCAGAGCAACTTTAAAAGTTTATGACCAACTGACCAACCGTCTTGCAGGCTCTGAACAACTCCCACTTTGCTCAGTTGAAGGACTTCATCTCTCTACAGATGCCCTCCGGCTTCCCCGTCAAATTCGGTATGGCTTTAATTGTCTCCATCCACATTCATTACGTATAGCTCCCATCTCTTGCATATGTGACTACCTGCTGTACATAGTTTAACCTGTTTGTCACTGATATTATACCCCTCTCTCAAACTCTTCTATCACTGATGCAATTTTTAAACTCAACATGAAAGCGTTCTCAGTGATATGGTTTTTAACTCCATTCACACTGATTAACTCTATTGCCACTGCAGAGATTCCATTGTTCCATGTAATGACGGCTAGTGTCACATTTGGAAACGTCAACGGACACACAAACCCCGCCCCCCACATCTCGCTGCACATGGAGCAGGGGAGGGTGGAGCCTGTTGCCGTGACGACACCCACCAGGGATTGTCAATGGAGGGAGTACGGAGTGACACGTAGAGGACGGTCGTTGTCGCAAGACGAGGAGGGGGGGAGGGGGGAGGAGGAGAGGGGAAGTGGTGAAGACATTCCTACAGCTACTGGGTTGGTTCCTGCAGCTACTAGGTTAGTTCCAAGTGTGATATAATAGTGTCCGACATAATGATGATGTGATGATCTATGTATGTGATTGAACATCGTGAACTGCTCGCACTCACTTTACCAAAAAAACGTGGCATTCATTGTAATTTTATGGCGTTGTGTTCTCTGATTTTATAGATCTGAAAGTCGTGAGGTGTGTACGATATCTGAGGAGTGTTTCGCCGTCCCAGCGGGCTACCGTCGACTGACGAGAGGTCGGCAGGCAATGGCGGACGAGGAGGAAGAACTTCTGCAGCTGGCCATCCAGCAGAGCCTGCTAGAGGGCGGGGCAGGGAGGGAGGAGAGGGAGGAGGAGAGCAGAGAGTCGGCTGGTAGCAGTGGACAACAGGTGGGGCAGTTGTAACAACAGCGAATGGAGTCATTTTTCAAACTGTTCCTTCTTCTTTCTCCCTCCTTTCCCTCTACATATACTCCGATCTTCTATCACTGTCACAGGAGATGACGTTGACAGAAGCACTGAATGACTCCTCGATCCTATCATCCCTCCGGGGAGAGATGGACACACAAATCAGGTCACTTTGTTAGCTGACAACTGAACCGGTAAGATAGTTGTGCTTGTCGCTGAACATTATTTCAGACAGGACAGGAATATGTACATTAAACCTTAATCCATAACAAGAACATGGACTCAGACAACAAAATGCGCGCTCTATTCCCTTCTAATACCATATTGTACGAGTGAATTGTTGACTCATAGAACTCTTTTGAGCGCGTTTCTCGCCCTTGTGATTGACAACGTCCTCCTAACTTTCCCATCTCCAACTTATCTCTAACTAAGTTCCAAATACTACTGTAACAAGCATACAGATCCGTGAAGTGAGACCACTTGAGGTTGTGAGACAATAGCGTGTTTGATTGAACTGAGTCAAGAGTGTGACCAAACATTATCTAAGAGCCAATCATTCACTTCCAGTATCAGTCTGATATAACCAACCGTCGTGTTCAACTTAGAGTTAAATAAATGCCATACAAGTAAAGAGTAAAGAATATATAAAACTAGGCAGAGGGCTATGAGAGGGACCTGGATATTTATGCCAACCATAAATTAAGAGCTTACCTCGTGCATATAAAGGAAACTCTGTCCAGGTAGCCTGACGACCACAAATTTACAGCTGCAATTCCCCGGAACTACGGTGACACCTCCTAGAAATATAGGACGCTTTAGTTATGTCCAAACAAGCTGCTCCCCCGCATATGTGACGCTCGTTCTCCTGTCTACTCTCACCCAATCTCCATATCTCACATTCCTGTCGTAGACCACTCACTGGTCGGCTTGCCGTGGATGTGTGAGATAGGGCAAACAGGGACGGGTGGGGCCCGTTGGTGATGGTCGGGTAGCCACAGTCACCCTTGGGGTGTCAAGACCCGGTAGTGCGGGCGATGACGGGGGGCAGCTGCCTGTGCCGTGGGAGCAGAACTGACAAAGGTGATACACCCAAAAAGACCAATCGCCGCGGGATTTAGTTCATGTGTTTTCTTGCGAAAGATTTAAGTAAATGGGGAGGACCGGCTTGTGTCCAGGAGACGGCAGACTGATATGTACACTCCGGGGAGGTTCTTGAGATTCTTTGGGTGAATCTTGGGAGAGAGGGGAGAGTGGAGGAGGAGATGGAGTGGAACGGGAGAAACAAGAAAAATAATGAAGTGTGATGCTTCTAACGAATATTTAACTATGTATACTCACATTGTGCCTTATATTTTCTCGACAAGTTTTCTTCTTCACGAAAAGTCCGTCATGTCTTCCCCACGTCCTCTGACCCTCACTCTTAAGCCACGTCCACCGAGAAATGTTCCCTCATCCCTTCGTTAACGAGTACTCTAGCGTCGCCTTGCCGACGTTGTGGTCGCTCGAGACGTCGTTTTTCTGGTTCGAACTGCGAATTCAGTCCTCTCCAGCTAGACCTCTGAAAGAGCTGACAGTCAGCCCCACTACCCCCTCCTGGCTGGCAACATTCACTTGCCTCTGCTAGCGCTTTTTGGTCAGAGCGCCTCCTTAGCCGGAAAGATAAAACAGGATGATGCTCGCAATACGACCACGGGGCAGCGTCACGGCGGCGGTGTGGTACCGTAGCGGCGCCAAGAGAAGCGCCGGGAGGGAGGGGAGTAAGCGTGAAGGGAATGGCGGCGGGATGGCGAGCGGAGATGGTGCGGGAACAAGAAACAATGAGTTGGAGCGGGGTGGGATCTTGACGAAAAAACGAGCCCCACCCTCTTTACGTCAAAAGTCTGGGATGGTGGGAGGAAAGGGTCACGGCGGTGAGGACGTACGTACACCAAAATAAACACCCCACACCTGCGTTGCCTTCCCAGAAATCGCAAGGCATGGATCTTCGTTACCTGGTGCAGGGCGTTTGGAGGGGTCCTAAGCCGGCTTAGACCCTCCCAAAGAAAGGTTATTTTAGTCGCCTTGCCTAAGTTTCCCTCTCCCTATTTCGATCAAGGGATGAAGATCCTGCTGTTGTGGTTTGGCTGCTGCATCGCCGTTTGCGAGCCTTGGTCGCGGCAGTCCTCGTTTGCCGGAGTAATCAAACAAAGCACTCATCCTCCAACCTCCTCTTTCTCTTCTCCCCATCTCCTAGCCAGCTCACAGCTATGGAGTGGGACCGTGCAAGACTCAACGTTTCACGTTGGATCCTTGTTCTATGAGTGAAATACGGTTATCTTCGGTGAAAGTGGTGTTAGCGTTTGGTATGGAATGACGGTAAAGTAGCTTGCAGTTTGCGTTGGGAATAGAAATAGTTAGCAAATACTGCCATAGCTCAAGGGCTACAATCTGTAGCAAATAGCCCATAGCTATCTATAGCGTTGCGGCGGAGGAAAACACACACTTCCAACATTTTATCTCTCGACTTACAGTTAAGATGAACAATTTTTCATTTTTATGAGCAAATAGGCAATAACTAAATATAGATACAATTCGAGTTCAAAACTATGCATTTACGATCAGCCTAATAACAGTAGAAATAGCAGTGTACCCCTGGTATAGGAAGCAGTATTATTCATTATAGCTGCGCTATTGTTTGAACTTATTGTGTATTATGGCATTGTCCAAATTCGATTGTCATGGGTGCGGGGGAGAATGGGTATGTATATCAGTTATTACATTTGTCATGTCCTTGTCGATTCCTCCACATATAGGATATAATTCAACTGCCGTTGCCATTAAGAATATTGTGTGTCCTCAATCTATAGCCAGTGCGTTATAAGCCACAATTAAACATTGAGCTCCTTCATCTGCATAGATGCGTAAAATAAGTCGTCTCCACACGAGATTGTCCGTCCCGTGGGTACGAATAGTTCTCCATATGGTTGAGTAGAGCGAACGACTGGAGGTGTTCTATCGATAAGCCTGCCCCGTTGGTGCCCAGGGCAGTGCTTGATAACCATTGGAGAGATAATTATATATAGCCTTTCGAACTGTATGAACCTTTACTGCAAATTATTGAGCCCTCTTAATTTTTTGAGAGGGTCGCAGGCAATGGCGGACGAGGGAGGAAGGAAGAGGTCTCCAAAGCTATTTTCTTCAGTTCGGACCGTCCAAATCAATATGGCCATAGAGGGTTACCAACGGCTGGGCCATTCCAAGCAGAGGCCTTGTATGGAGGCGGGGCAACAATACAAAACTTTGTGATGCACTGGAAGTGGGAGCCCACAAATGTGGTGAGTTTCGGCGTTGAGGGTTACGGAGACAAGAAAAAGGGACGGACAGGAAGACAAGTGGCAGAGAGTCGAGGGCTTTGTTGGATAGGGCCAGTAGTGAGAGGGTGGTACAATGAACTGATTCACAATTCACAATGTAACGGTGGCCTTGTTCGTGGTGTTAGCGGCCATGTGAGGGATATGGTTTTCCCGGTCGATGGAAAAAAATGTAATACATTAACATCAGAGGTGTAGTCAGGTATGACATCAACATTGATGTATGCTGCCCAAACAACGCTTAGAAGGGAAAATTTAGTATGAGCTTAGGTGTGTGATGCTATTATATTACTTACTCTCTTCAAAGTACTACCACACAATGCAGCACCGTACATCGGTTAGAGACCACGGTGTCCACTTGTGCTTGGTTCATCACCGCTCCCAGTTTTTCTTGTACACGCATGAATTAATTGTTCGATAAATATTTCTTCTACTGTTTAACATCTATTATTTATTATCTAAGGACACGGTTGTATCGTTTATATTCAATTCACCTATGTCTAGTTAACATTGCCTTACAACCTTGCAACGATTGTTTCCAGAGATTATAACAAACTGCGCCAAAAGGTGGAGTGGATTTAGGATGGACGGGTTGTGGTAAACAATTAAAAAAAGGTGGGGAAAAAAATAGAATTAAAA